GGCCACCATGTCCGGCTAATTTTTGTATTTTTAGTAGAGACAGGGTTTCACCATGTTGGCCAGGCTGGTCTCAAACTCCTGACCTCAGGCGATCCGCCTGCCTCAGCCTCCCAAAGTGCTGAGATTACAGGCTTGAGCCACCACGCCCGGCCAATTTTTATATTTTTTGTAGAGACAGAGTTTCACCATGTTGCCCAGGATGATCTCAAATTCCTGGATTCAAGCTATCCTCCTGCCTCAGTCTCCCAAATTGCTGGGACTACTGGCATGAGCCACTGTACCCAGCAAACATAAAAACTTTTATTGGAAATACATTTCTTAATGGTAGAGGTTGGTTGTGATCCCCTCCTCCCTAATTTGTTAGTGCATCCGTAGGTGAATATACTTAGAGCTGGAATTCAGTAGGGGTCAGCATACATTTTATTCTAAATTTAAAAAATAGATGGAAGCTTGAGAAATAGCAATGTTATAAATCAGTAGATGAGAGCTGAGAGATTTTGCAGGAGCAACATCACTTAGTTCTTTGAATTTCTGAGTGTCATGCCAAAAAAAAGTATAAGATGGGAAAAGATAGAAAATGTACTGCTGGCCCTGTCTGGAGGTTTTTATACCTTAGACAGTACATAAGGGAGAATTTCTGAAGGGAGAAAAATACGACTTTTTTGGCTAAGTGGGAGAAGGAAGATTGTACAAGGAACTGTGGGACAGGAGACCCAGCGTAATGCCACCACTGTCTGTAGTCTGCTCAGTCGGTTTTAGGAAAGAATATGTCTGGATGTTTATACCTTAAAACCATCCATGCCCATGTACTACTGGGAAAGTCTTTAGGATTAAACAAATGTCAGCATGAAGAAAGCCTTTTAAAGTAGTAATCTCCAAAAATAAAACAAGCTGATCCAAGTCTCACTATTCAACACTAGGGTGTAATACGACAAAGAATTATAATACTACCCTATGCAATATACCATGCAGGAAGCACTTTACATATAAGCTGGCATTTAATAAATATTTGTTATTTTAATTTGAAAAGTAAGTTGTCTTTAAAAAATTGCATTTACGTTCATTCTGTCTGTCTCCTGGTGTAGTCTGGATTGCCCCACGATGCCACTGAAATTGCTTTTAATGGGATCACCAGTACTTTAAATATCACTTGAGTCCAGTAGGCATTTAAAAATCTTTGACTTCTTGTTAGCTTTTGTTGAGCTTGACCACTTTTCTCTGTCATGTTGTTTTTCCACGATTTTCTGGGACATGAACCTCTTTCAATTTTCCTTCTACCTCTCTGCTTTTTTCTAGTTTCTTCTGCATGCTCCTCTTTCAAAACCCTTTTCTTAAATATTGGTGTCTATGACTTCTGTCTTAAGCCTCCTCTCATTTTACTCTATAAAAGTTCCCAAACATTTCTCTCCTCATGCTGTGGCTTCAGTTACTCATTTGTTTATTATTTTATTATTTTTTTGAGACAGGGTCTTACTAAGTTGCTCAGGCTGGAGTGTAGGGGCACAGTCTTGGCTCACTATAACCTCTGCTTCCCGGGCTTAAGCATTCCTCCCACCTCGGCTTCTCGAGTAACTGGGATTACAGGCATGCACCACTATGCCTAGTTAATTTTTGTATTTCTTGTAGAGACAGGGTTTTGACGTGTTGCCCAGGCTGGTCTCAAACTGCTCAGCTCAAGATCCTCCCACCTCAGCTTCCCAGTGTTGGAGTTAAAGGCTTGAGCCACCATACCTGACCCATCCTGTGTGTTTGTAATGTTAATTTGTATTTCCAGCCCGGATGGCTCTCCTGAGCTCTAGCTGGAGGAAGCTCCAGCTTCGTCCTTAGCACCTGTACCTAGATGTCTTCTTAAATGTGTACTTTGGAACTGAACTTTTCATCTTCCCTCTAACCTGCTTCCCTGTGTTTCTGTATCTCAGTAAATGACACCTCTGTCTAAGCAATTGCCCAAGCCAGCCTCCTAAGTGTCATTCATAATTCTTCCTTTCCTTTATCCCTCATGATGCCAATTAATTATTCTACTTCCTAAATATGTTACAAAAATTTATCCACTTCTGACTGTCCTCAGTGTTGCTATCTGTGCCAAACCAACCTCTCTAGCTTCTATTACTCATAACAACCTTCCTGCTGGCATCTTCACTTCATGCTGTACATGGCAGCTGAAGAGGCCCACTCAAAGTTTTAATCTCATCATGGCATCCTTGCTTAAAGCCCTTCAATGGCTTCACATCACCCTTGAGATAAATTTCAGACTCTTTAACATGCATTACAAGGCTCTTTGGATCCTACTCTTCCTTATCTACATAGCCTTGTCTCTGGGTCTTCGCCCTGACACACTAAAGCCTAAAGCAACTTTTCTTTTTCAAATACTGTGGTTTATCAAATATATGTGCGTGTATTTCCTTGACTTCTGCTTTCTTTGAATCCTTCCATATGCTTTGTTTTTGCCTGGACCATTTTGCCTGATTAACTCCTTCTAGTCCTCTGGTCCCAGCTTAAAATAGCACTCCTTCAGGTGGGCTGCCTTGAATCTGCAGGTTAGGTTCTATTATGTGTTCAAATAGCACAGTGTATTTCCTCTGTGTGTAATCATCACACTTTAATTACTTGTCTCTTTCATAGTATACTATCTTGTAAGCTTAGTGAGGACCGGGATCATCTTTATCTTGGTCTCTGCTTTCTTTTTAATTTTTAACTTTTAATTTTTGTGGGTACATAGTAGGTGTATATATAAATGGGGTACATGAGATATTTTGACACAGGCATACAATGCCTAATAATTACATCAGGGTAAAAGGGGTATGCCTCACCTCAAGCATTTATCCTTTGTGTTACATATAATTCAGTTGTGCTCTTTTAGTTATTTAAAAATGTACAATAAATTATAGACTGTAGCCACCTTGTTGTGCTATTAATTACTAGATCTTATTCATTCATTCATTTTTGTTTTCCTTTTTTTTTTTTTTGAGATGGAGTCGCCTGTCACCCAGGCTGGAGTGCAGTGGTGTGATGTCTGCTCACTGTAGCCTCCGCCTCCTGGGTCCAAGTGATTCTTCTGTTTCAGCCTCCCAAGTGCCTGGAATTACAGGCACGTCCTACCATGCCTGTCTAATTTTTGTAATTTTAGTAGAGATGAGGTTGCACCATGTTGGCCAGGCTGGTCTCGAACTCCTGACCTCAGGTGATCCGCCCGCCTCGGCCTCCCAAAGTGCTGGATTATAAGTGTGAGCCACCATGCCTGGCCCTTGGGCTTATTCATTTTAACTATATTTTTGTACCCATTAACCATCCCCCCACCCTGCTACCCTTCCCAGCCTCTGGTAACCGTCCTTCTACTCTCTATTGCCGTGAGTTCAATTGTTTTAATTTTTAGCTTCCATAGGTAAGTGAGAACATGCAAAGTTTGTTTTTCTGTGCCTGGCTTATTTCATATAACATAATGACCTCTAGCTCCATTCAGATTGTTGCAAATGACAGGATCTCATTCATTTTTATGGCTGAATTGTACTCCATTGTGTATATGTACCACATTTTCTTTATCTATTAATCTGTTAATGGACACTTAGGTTGCTTCCAAATCTTGGCTATTGTGAATATTGCTGCAATAAACATGAGAGGGTGGATATCTCTTCAATAAACTGATTTCCTTTTTTGGGGGCTATACCTAGCAGTGGGATTGCCAAATCATATAGTAGTTCTATGTTTAGTTTTTTTGAGGAACCTCCAAATTGTTCTCCATAGTGGTTGTAATAATTTACAATTCCACCAACAGTGTATGAGGGTTGCCTTTGCTCCACATTCTCTGTAGTATTTGTTATTGCCTGTCTTTTGGATAGAAGCCATTTTAACTGGGGTGAGAGGATATCTCATTGTAGTTTTTTTTTTTTTTTTTTTTTTGGAGATGGAGTCTCGCTCTGTCGCCCCAGGCTGGAGTGCCAGTGGGCCGGATCTCGGCTCACTGCAAGCTCTGCCTCCTGGGTTTACGCCATTCTCCTGCCTCAGCCTCCCGAGTAGCTGGGATTCAGGCGCCCGCCCACCTCGCCTGGCTAGTTTTTTGTATTTTTTTGGTAGAGACGGAGTTTCACCGTGTTAACCAGGATGGTCTTGATCTCCTGACCTCGTGATTCCGCCCGCCTGGGCCTCCAAAGTGCTGGGATTACAAGGCTTGAGCCACCGCACCCGGCCCTCACTGTAGTTTTGATTTGTGTTCTCTGGATGATCAATAAACACTTTTCACATGCCTGTTTGCCATTGTATTCTACAAATGGCATGTAGATCTTCCTTTTTTTTTTTTTTTTTTTTTTGAGCACGGAGTTCTCGCTCTGTCGCCAGGCTGGGAAGTGCAGTGGCGCGGATCGTCAGCTCAACTGCAAGGCTCCGCCCTCGCCCGGGTTTAACGCCATTTCTCCTGCCTCACTACCGGAGTAGCTGGGATACAGGCGCCCGCCACCTGCAGCCCGGCTAGTTTTTTTTTTTTTTTGTATTTTTTAGTAGAGACGGGGTTTCACCATATTAGCCAGGATAGTCTCCATCTCCTGACCTCGTGATCCGCCCGTCTCGGCCTTCCAAAGTGCTGGGATTACAGGCTTGAGCCACCGCGCCCGGCCGGCATGTAGACTTCTTTTGAGGAATGTCTATTCAAATAGTTTGCCCATTTCTTAGTAGGATTATTAGATTTTTTTTCCTGTAGAGTTGTTTGAGCTCCTTATATATTCTGATTAGTAATCTCATGTCAGATACAGAGTTTGCAAATATTTTCTGCCATTCTGCAAGTTGTCCCTTCACTTTGTTAATTGTGTCCTTTGCTGTGCGGAAGCTTTTTAACTTGGTGTGATCCCACTTGTCCATTTTTGCTTTGATTACCTGTACTTGTGGAAGTCTCTGCTTTCTTTATACCTAGTGCCTAACACATATGGGGGCATATTTGACGCCTTTGAATAAGTTCACAACTTTGTGTTCTTGTTCTTGTGATTCAGAATGAACCTGTTTTTTCTCCTTAGTGTCTCAATGAGATCTTGGAGTCAGCAGATGCACCCTTAGAAGTCACTGAAGGATTCATTCAGTCAATTTCCCTGTCAGTTCCATGGGGCTCTTTGCTGCAGGATAATTGTGCACTAGAAGTGAGAGGATTAGAAATGGTCTTCCGGCCTAGACCTCGCCCAGGTTGGTGTGTTGTATGTTTCTGTTTTGTGTGTTTCTATTTTTATTCTTCAGAGACTGGGAAAGTAGCCTGATTACATTAAATTTAGTATGTAATTTATTATTTTGCTTTGTATTTGTGAAATTTTCCATTGATAATACATTATGACTTGGCTCTTTGTATAATGTACATGTTTACACATTTAGAGTTGTTTCTTTCCCTGATTATTCACAGAAACTTTAGTATACAGATTATTTGGTTTGTTTAATTATTTGTTACCAGTTATCTAAAATGAGACTTGGGTTTTAAAGATTCAAAATTATTGTGCCAGAAAGCAAGGAAGAATGTTCAAAGATTGATGGAGAAATGTTAAAGGGACACAGGATTGGTTGTCAAGGGGCTTCCATTGGTCAAATTTGGGAAAATTTGAGTATTGCAAAGAATGATGACAGTAATGGTTTGTAACACATGAAATAAAAAAATCTCTAGGACGATACTGATACAGATAAATAAGTAGGTAAGGTGGACAGGGAGAAGGAATGCTCTTCTTTATAGCAGAATAGCTACTTATAAATATAGAAAAACATGATAGAATTAGATAGAATTGACAATCTAGGTGACAGATATGTTGGTATGCAATGATAGAATTATAATCCCAAGTGCTGCCCAAAACATGAAAGTTTAAATTATATTTAGTAGAGTTAAAGTGAAATTCTGTATTTTGAAAACTGATACTGCATGCATGGAAATCATCTTTAGTAATCTGGCATTTAATTTACAAGAGTGTTCTATCTTTTAGCCATGATTAGTGGATATAATATTTTTCTATGGGAAGGCAAACTTTCAAATATTTTTCTCTTTAAAACATTCCATTAGAAAGTCTTTTAAATTCCATTTTGGAAGGCAATAATTCTTGCGATCTCTGTCACTTTGCTTTGAATAATGTAGGGAGGTGTGGGGAGAATTTTCTCATGAGGGAAGATCTGGAAATGATTTTTCACATCTCATACGCTTCCTCCTCCAAGGATGCTCTTTTATTTTATCTACATTTATACTAATTTCCAAAGCCTGTATCATCTGCTACTTCTGCCACATTTCCTGTTAATTTTCTCAGCTAGAAGGGAAGAATTAACTAAAGAATTAATCTCTTCTTTTAGCTTTCATAATGTTTTCTGTTGACATTCAATAGTTGTCTATTAATTGTATCTTATTTCTTTATACAGCAGGTTCTCTGAGGGCAGAATTTACTATTATTTTTTCTACTTTCTACAGCAGGGTTAGCAAACTGTAACCTGTAGGCCAAATTGATCCTGTCATCTGTTTTTGTTAATAAAGTTTTATTGGAACACAGCCATGCTTATTTGTTTATTTACTTTAATGGCTGTTTTGTGCTCTGATATGAGAGTTGAGAAGCTGTGATATAGACCATGTGGTCCACAAAATAGAAAATATTTACTGTCTGACCCTTTACAGAAAAAGTTTGTCAACCCCTGCTTATAATATTTAGAACAGTTCCATGCATCTGTAGAATACCCACTAAGTATTTGTTGAATGAATACATGAATTGATATTTGGTAAAATATAACATGTTATGAGAGCACATTCTCTGGACTTTTTTCTGTGATTTTTTTTTCTTCTTGGTTATTATAAGGTGATATTTAAATCTCAAGAGTACTTTCTAGAATATTGTTTACCTGGGTAATACCATGATGTTAAAAATCTCTTAAAGGATTAAGAATTTATCTATTTGAAATGTGTTATTTTAAGAACTGGCATTGTTATAACTCTGAGAAATTATTTAGGATTAATTTATATTTTCCACAGCAACTGGTTCTGAGCCTATGTATTGGTCAAGTTTTATGACCAGCAGTATGCAATTGGCAAAAGAATGTCTTAGCCAGAAACTAACAGATGAACAAGGAGAAGGATCCCAGCCTTTTGAAGGACTTGAAAAGTTTGCTGAAACCATTGAAACAGGTTTGGTGTTACGGAGAATTTTAAAAAATTTAGATTTGATTTGGTAGTTTCGTGCCTTCGTGTAATAAGCTTTGTATAAGGCAAATCCATTGGAATGGATTTTTAAAAGAATTACTGTTCCCACTTCAGAACTTTAGAATGGAGGTATTTTAAATATTCCATTTAATTGTGTGGTTTTTTTTTTTGTACCTTAGTTTCTCCATTTATTACGCTTGCATAGTGAATGGATTAGAATACAACAAATAGTGTTAGTCATTGTCCCAAGCATCTGTTGAGATGAAACATGGTTAAATGCTCAGTAAGGCAAAATATTTATCATAAAACTCAGGATTTAAGGATTTTAATGGAAAGAAATTCAGCTTCTTTATTTTGTAAACAAAAGTTCTTATCAAACTTGTATTTATTTATTTATTTGGAGGTTTTTATTTAGTATATATGTGGTCTCTTATGTTGACAATTACTTGTTTACTTTAGTACTAAGAAGAGTAAAAGTCACTTTTATAGATACTGTTTTGAGAATTGAACATGTGCCAGAAAATTCCAAAACTGGAACTGCACTTGAAATTCGAATAGAAAGGTAAGAATTCTTAGGTCTGAAAATAAATGACCCTATTGTAACTGTTACATTACATTTTCAGGGAGGTTTTGGAGATTAGAGGTAATGATATGAAAATATTGCATAATTTCAGAGTATAGTGCTGCTCTTCAAGTTGTGTTTTAATTCTAATTCCATTATTGAAAACTTGAAAGTGCCAGTTGTGGTATAATTATGTCTAATACCATGTTGAATTTAAAGCAAGTTATTCTGTTTTAGTTAATAGCAAATCAGAATAATAAGCATTTGAGTGCCACTAAATTTAAGGCATTCCTGTGGGAAAGTTTCAGTTTTTTCATATTAACAATGCAATATTTAGCCATATTTCATTAACATGAAAGACATTTTTGTTTTGCTGTGCTTAATCTAAGTGCTGCTTTAGTGAGAAAGGCTAAGGTCACTATTTTGAGGATCCTGTAAGGATTATGTTAAGGTCAATACGCTCAATATTTACTTAAAAAGTATAAATACATGGGTTTTAGTTTTTTGTGTATGCCCACTTGAAGCCCTTATACGTAGCTGTAAAGCAAAGTTAATTTACATACATACACCTAAGCATTGATTTGAGGGAGTAACTGGTCACCCATGTATTAATGCTGTATGAACTGCCAACAGAAATGAGCAGGATGAAGCGCGTACACTGCATGAGCACCAGAGACACTTCGTACATGGATCTACTGGGGGTCTCTACTGCATTTTAAGCAGCTGTGTTATGGTTTCTGTCTTTCACAAAACACCTATTAGTAAAACAGGTGTTGTTAGCAGATCTTTGGAATTAGGGTCCATTGCCTTAAATAGTAGATTTTTAAAAATCTAAAATCTCATGCATTTAGAACCACATTATGTGTTTTGTTTAAACTAAAAATTAGTCACATGTAGGAATTCAAGAAATGTCTTTTGTGACTTGGAGCCAAATGCTGTCACACTGTTACCAAGAGATGTTTTGTGGGGGAGTACAGGAATTGTTTTCCTTAAAACTAACTTTAGGGAGTTAGTTTTTTTCTCTCAATTTAAGCCTCATAAAGTTACCATTTTGGAGTTAAGACCTCTTCATGAAAATATTGGCCGGGCGCGGTGGCTCAAGCCTGTAATCCCAGCACTTTGGGAGGCTGAGACGGGCGGATCACGAGGTCAGGAGATCGAGACCATCCCGGCTAACACGGTGAAACCCCGTCTCTACTAAGAAATACAAAAAACTAGCCGGGCGAGGTGGCGGGCGCCTGTAGTCCCAGCTACTCGGGAGGCTGAGGCCGGAGAATGGCGTGAACCCGGGAGGCGGAGCTTGCAGTGAGCTGAGATCCGGCCACTGCACTCCAGCCTGGGCGACAGAGCGAGACTCCGTCTCAAAAAAAAAAAAAAAAAGAAAATATTTACGGTAGTAAAGCACGGTGAGACTGACCCACATTATAGGCATATTCTAAAAAGTGCTAACACTTGAAAAAACCCTTTAACTTAAAAAAAAGCTATGTGCGTTTCTTATTGTAAATAGGTTTTTCTGGGAGCTTTTTGTAAATGCTTTTTTAAAAAAATTTCAGAACTGTATACTGTGATGAAACTGCTGATGAATCCTCAGGAATTAATGTGCATCAACCCACTGCTTTTGCTCACAAGTTACTTCAGCTCTCTGGAGTGTCTCTCTTCTGGGATGAGTTTTCTGCATCAGCAAAATCTTCCCCAGTGTGTTCAACTGCACCAGTGGTAAGAAAAACAAAACAAAAAACCCTAAAACCATAATCAAAGATTTTTTGAAAGGTTTAAATGGGGGCTATTAAATTTTGCTAGGATGTATAATGTGTCTGAATGAGTCTCTGTCTTGAGATTTAATGCAAATATTCAGTAATGGTAATATGTATTTCAGAGATTTGAAAATACTAATATTTATATTCCTACCAGTGTGCTGTGTATTAGTCTGAAAGAGAAATGTTGGGTACTGTATGTTGGGGGGAAATGGTGTTGAAGTTGAGTATCCCTTATTCAAAATGCTGGAACTGTGTTTCAGATTTTTGAATATTTTTATAGATACAATGAGATATCTTGGGGATGGGACCCAAGTCTAAATACAAAACTCATTTATGTTTTTTTTTTTGTTTGGAGAGAGTCTCCTGTCGCCCAGGCTGGTGTGCAGTGGCGCAATCTCGGCTCACTGCAGCCTTCGCCTCCTGGGTTCAAGGGATTCTTCTATCTCAGCCTCCTGAGTAGCTGGGATTACAGGCACGTGCTACCATGCCCGGCTAATTTTTGTATTTTTAGTAGAGATGGGGTTTTGCCACGTTGGCCAGGCTGGTCTCGAACCCCTGACCACCTGCCTTGGCCTCCCAAAGTGCTGGGATTACAGGCATGAGCCACCACATCTGACCCATTTATGTTTCATATATGCCTTATACACATAACCTGAAGGTAATTTTATAAAATATTTTCAATAATTTTGTGCATGAAACAAATATTTGACTGCAACTCATCATGTGAGGTCCGGTGTATTTTCCTGACCTTGTGGTAGTGTCATGTTGGCATGCAAAAACTTTTGGATTTTGGAGCATTTTGGATTTTGAGTTTTTGGTTTAGAGATGTTTAGCCTATATTAACATCTATCTTTTTTTTCAATAAAAACTGGAAATTAAGCAGTGTTCAAATTTACCTTACATAGTGACTGTATTGATGAAACTTTATTCTACAAATCATGTCTTTAAAAAGCTTTATAATTAAGGAACTCTGTTAAATCCCTTCCGAGAGGAAAGTCTTTTTATAAGTCACTCTATAATTTGCCTTTCATGTTATTTTACAAATCAGATTTTCTTAATTATACAGTGCCCATTAGGTTTTCTTACTGCTGTAACTTGAAGAGATACTGTGCTTTTTTTCATGAAGTCCTTTTTCATGATTTGCTTTTATTACCAGTGGACTGTTAACATATTACTGTGTTTCCTTTTAGCTATAAGATACTGGTTTGTCCATTGTAACATCATACAGTTTTACATGTCTAATATTTTATTCTTCTTAAGTTGACGTTTATATTTTACGTTTCATTTTATTTATATAAAGTATTTTAAATAATTATTTTTGTCACTTTATTGTAGGAAACTGAGCCAAAGCTGTCACCTAGCTGGAACCCCAAAATTGTTTATGAGCCACACCCACAGTTAACTAGAAATTTACCAGAGATAGCACCCTCTGACCCAGTGCAGATTGGAGGGTTGATTGGTAGGTTGGAGTTGAGTCTCACGTTGAAACAGAATGAAGTACTTCCTGGAGCTAAGGTCAGTGTTTGTTTCACTTTCTATAGTAAAACCAAAATAAAAGTACAAGTATTCTTTATTCTATGCAGTGATTCACTGATTGATCACTGCAGATTATCCTGTCTCTAGTGTACCGCTGTCACTGAGTTAGCATTTTTACTCTCCGTTGATGCTTCTATCCTAGGTCACAAAATTTACGTGAGGACTGCCTTTGCCCTACTGTTGCAGCTCAGGTGTTACAAAGAGCTGCCTTCTATACTCACTCTCCCCTATTCCGACAATTCGAAACCGAGAAACCTCTCTTTTTGGTATTAGGCATAGTTTCATTTGTTCAGATGACTAGGAATTTATTAAAAAAATTCTTTCTATTGTCACAAAATTAAGTTTAAAGGAAAAGAGATTTGGCGAGCAGGAATTCTGTAGAAGATGTTTTAAAATTATATATATGTAAAAATATCTACCCATCTATTTTGAACAGAATGACCATTTTTATATAGTTGTATAATATTTGTGAAAAGAGAGACTTTTCCCATTGTCTCATAGCTTTAAAAAGTTTTGACACAAAATAAACCTATATTATATATCATCTCTACTTTTTCTTTTTGAGATGGGGTTTCCCTCTGTTGCCCAGGCTGGAGTGCAGTGACAAGATCTTGGCTCACTGCAGCCTCAGCCTCCTGGGCTCAAACAACCCTCCCGCCTCAGCCTCGCAAGTGGCTGGGGCTACAGGCACATGCCACCATGCCTGGCTAAATTTTGTATTATGTTTTTTGTAGAGACAGGGTCTCGCTATGTTGCCGAGGCTGATCTCGAACTTCTGGGCTGAAGCAGTCCTTGCTCAGCTTCCCAAAGTGTTGGGATTATAGGCATGAACCACCTCACCGGGAACCTTTACTATTTTTAAGTGTAAGTTAAGTGATAATCAGTATATTTATATTCTTTTTCCCTTCATTTCCCCACTGTTCCCAGCCTCTGGTAACCATCAGTCTGCTCTGAATATTCATGAGATCCCCTTTTTTTAGCTCCTGCCTATGAGTGAGAATATGCGTTGTCTCTTTGTGCTTGACTTACGTCACTTAACGTAATGGCTTCTAGTTCCATTCATGTGGTTACAAATGACAGGACTCCATTATTTTTTATGGCTAAATAATATTCCATTGTGCATATATACCACATTTTCTTTATGCATTCATCTGTTGATGGATATTTAGAATGAGTCCATATTTTGGCTATATTCACACACATCACACTATGTGAATAGTGTGCTGTAAACATGGCAGTGCAGATACCTCTTTGGTATGTTGCTTTCCTTTCTTGCGGGTATATACCTAATGTGGAATTGCTGAATCATATGTAAGTTCTAGTTTTAGTTTTCGTTGTTGTTGTCCCTTTGTTTTCTTTTTTCAAAAATTTCAATAGTTTTTGGGATACAGATGGTTTTGGTTACATAGGTGAGTTCTTTAGTGGTAAATTCTGAGATTTTAGTGTACTTGTCACCTGAGTAGTATGCAGTATACTCAATATGTTGTCTGTTATCCCTCACCTCTCTCCTAAACTCCCCTCCTCCTGAGTCCCCACAGTCAATTATATACCTCTGTATGTTTTTGCATTCTCATAACTTAGCTCCCACTTGTAAGTGAGAACATATGGTGTTTGGTTTTCCATTCCTGAGTTCCTTAACTTATCATAATGGCCTCCAGTTCCATCCAAGTTGCTGCAAAAGACATTATTTTGTTTCTTTTTATGGCTGAGTAGTATTTCACGTGTGTGTGTATGTGTATACATATATGTACACATATATTTGTGTGTGGTGTATATATATATATATGTGGTGTGTATATGTACGTGGTGTGTATATATAGTGTGTATATATGTACGTGGTGTGTATATATAGTGTATATATGTGTATACGCGTGCACACACACACATACACACACACAGTGGAATTGCTGGCTGGAATGGTCGATCTACTTTTAGTTCTTTAAGGGATTTCCATACCGCTTTCCATAGTAGTTGTACTAGTTTACATTCCTACCAGCAGTGTAACAGTGTTCCTTTTTTATGACATCCATCCCAACATCTATTGTTTTTTGACTTTTTAATTATGGCCGTTCTTGCAGGAGTAAGGTGGTATCTCATTGTGTTTTTAATTTGCATTTTCCTGATGATTAGTGATGTTGAGCATTTTTTTCATGGTTGTTGGCTGTTCAAGTATTTTCTTTGAGAAATATATAATCATGTCCCTTGCCAGCTTTTGGATGGGATAATTTTTTCTTGCTGATTTGTTTGAACTCCTTGTAGATTCTGGATATTAGTCCTTTGCGGGACGCATAGTTTACATATATTTTCTCCTACTCTGTAGGTTGTCTGTTTAGTCTGCCGATTGTTTCTTTTGCTGTGCAGAAGCTTTTTAATTTAATCAGGTCCCATTTATATTTGTTTTTGTTGCATTCATTTTTAGGGTCTTAGTCATGAATTGTTTGTCTAAGCCAATGTCCAGAAGAGTTTTTCCAGTGTTTTCTTCTAGAATTTTTATGGTTTCAAGTCTTAGGTTTACATCTTCGGTCCATCTTGAGTTGACTTTTGTATAGGGTGAGAGATGAGGATCCAGGTTCATTCTTCTACATGTGGCTTGCCAGTTTTCCCGGCATCATTTATTGAATAGGGGGTCTTTTAAACAATTTATTGTTTTGCATTTGATGAAATTCAGCATCCCTCTATGATAAAAACCCTCAACAAAATAGGCATAGAAGGGACTTACCTCAAAGTAATAAAAGACATATATAACAAACCTACAACCAACATCATACTGAATGGGGAAAAGTTGAAAGCATTCCCCCTGAGAACTGAAACAAGACAAGGATGCCCACTTTCACCACTTCTATTCAACATAGTACTGGAAGTCCTAGCCAGAGCAGTCAGGCAAGAGAAAGAAATAAAGGACATCCAAATTGGAAAAGAGGAAGTCTGACTATAGCTGTTCACTGATGCTGTGATCATATACCTAGACAACCCTGAAGATTCATCCAAAAGGCTCTTAGATCTGATCAATGAATTCAGTAAACTCCCAGGTTACAAAATCAATGTACACGAATCAGTGGCAGTGCTATACAGCAACAGTGACCGAGCTAAGAATCAAATCAAGAACTCAGTCCCCTTTACAACAGCTGCAAAATAAATAAATAAATAAAATAAAATACCTAGGCATATACTTAACCAAGGAGCTGAAATCTCTCTACGAGGAAAACTACAAAACACTGCTGAAAGAATAGATGACACAAACAAATGGAAACACATCCCATGCTCATGGATAGAAATAATGCATATTGTGAAAATGACCATACTACCCACAACAATCCACGTATTCAGTGTAATTCAAAATACCATCATTTTTCACAGAACTAGAAAAAACAACCCTAAAATTCATATGGAACCAGAGAAGAGCCCATACAGCCGAAACAATACTAAACAAAAAGAACAAATCAGGAGTTATCACATTACTGGACTTTAAATTATACTACAAGGCTGTAGTTAGCAAAACAGCATGGTGCTGGTATTAAAATAGGCACTCAGTCCAATGGAACAGAATAGAGAACCCAGAAATAAAACCAAATGCGTACAACTAACTGATCTTTGACAAAGCATACAAAAACATATTTTTAGTTTTCTGAGGAACCTTCATACTGTTCTCGATAGTGGTTGTACTAATTTACATTCCCACCAACAGCATATGAGGGTTCTCCTTCTCATAGCTTTGACACTGTATAAAGACACTGTATGAATACAACTGTATTTATGTCTTAGGGACTCATATTGATCAGTCTTATGGAGAACCAGGAAATTTGCATTTACTTAGCTAAAAATGTATTTGTCAAGCATTATTTTCACACCTTGAAAACAAATTTTCTATATAATCTGTATAAAACGTTGATTTAATTAAGAAGATACCAGGATTTATTCATTTGTTTATGTACTGATCTCCCTAGTTGTAGATGTTCAAGTGACTACCGTATGCCAGCCACTTACCTGTCCAAGTTCTTGGGACAGATGCAAAGATGAGTGGAATACAATCTACCTTGGTAGAAGATACAGTAAGGGGTATGGAAATTGCTATGGGGACATGGAAGAGGAAGCCACTAAGTACATGTCAATATACATAAAACGATTTTTCAGAGGATTGAAGTATCTCCGCAAATCCCTCCTTGGATTGGAACCTCTGACTAGAGTTGGAGGAGGAGGAAAGTAGTTAGAATGAAGACACACCTATTACTGATTACTCAGGCCTCTTTTGTTTACTGCTCTGTCCTTCTTCAGATGGTGCAAAATCCTTTCACAATATCATAAGGCCCTTTATAAGTAACATGTTGGGATTGTTAGCAGAACAGATAGTCAAAGGGTTATGTAAACTCTACAGGGAATCCTCTGCTGTGATAACATCCTTGGGAAACTAATACTTACTAATAATATGCTTATGTCTCTGGGGAATGTATTTGCCATGTCTGTAAGAAGGAGGAAGCATAATAATAACTTTTTAGTTCTGTTTTGGTTAATTATATATAGTCCTCCATATTTGTATAATTTTATATTTATGTAAACCCAAACTTTTGCGCATGTGTCGATTTGTACAAATGTCTTTTATAATAGAACATTACGTATGCATTTATACAAATGTATAAATATATGTTACTTTTAGAGTTCTGTATATTAGGTGACAAATGAACATCTGGAAAAATTGCATAGTGGCATTGTGTGCCAGCCAGTATTTAATATTTAGAGGTACTATCTTTTCCTATAGAGTAATTTTTGTATAATGACTTATATATTTGAGTATAACTTGTTTTTATTTAATGCAAATGATGCTAAGTGGAAAAAGACAAATTCTGGATTTTAGTATTGAGGAACATAGATCTCATAAAATGTAGTGTAGATAAGGATGGCATTAATTAGGGGTGCTGAAAACGTCAGATCTTTAATCTGTTTCTGATGTACGTTAGACTTAACTCTTTCAACTGCAGATTCGAAATATTATGAAACATTTCATGTTTTTTTTTTTAAGTTCTCAGAATAGTATTCCCTTGAGTAGTGTGTAAGTCTGTGTTTCATATATTCGGTTTTAGCCTATGTTTTTAGGAATGCATTTGTATGAAAATTGGAGACTGCCCATATTGAATTTAGAGATGTTTTGTTTCAGTTACTATGTTACACTGAGTTGAGATTTGTTTCTTAGTTATGTTCTTTTATGTTTCCAAAAGAAAGTAATAAGTACTTTGTTCTTTTTATGCTGAACTCAGAATGTACAAATAATGAAATATTTCTATGAAAATTTTAGTTTCAATGAATTAGAAATGAAACTCTTGATTGTCCATTCTAATGAAAGTCAGAGATTGTGCTTTCAGTACAACAATTGTGAAATTATAAAACAATTTTTAAATTTGGCATGTAATTAGAAACACATTTTCTCCTCTCAGCCTTAGGTTGGCTCATGGCTTGGGATGTCAGTAGTCAGGAAGGTGCCCTGTAAAATAAGCTGTCTGTGGGCAGAACAGGGGAGCCATGCCATTGGAAGGAGTGAGGGCCTTCCCTCCAGGTCAGCCTAGCTGAAAATCCAGGTCTGGATCTGCTACATGGCCTTGTGCAATTCACTGAATCTTTGTGAGCTAATTTCTTCACCTGTAAAACAGGAACAGAAATGAGAATTAGAGGAAATATATATAAAAGCACTTAGCATGGTACCCCAATGCTAAAAAACAAAATGTGATAATAATGATTAATTTTACTGGACAATGTCTTCTTAGGTCATAGAAATTTCTCAATCATTATGTAGTTTATTTATTTATTTATTTTTTAGAATCAGAAGGAATCTCTTTTCCTCCTGGGGAAGAAGTGATTTTCTAATATGAGTGTTTTGTTAATTCTATTATTTTTCAGTCGCAAATGACATAAAAATAATACGAGTCAGTGTTAACAGGAGGCGAATGAAAAGTAAGGCAAGGATATTCTGCTTTTTAGAATGTGATATAGACAATAGAGTAATTGCTTTTGTCAGAGTATTCAGGAATCATCAGGAGAGTGGGATGGAGCTTTTATTTCTAGATGGAAAAGTGGGCAAAGAGTTGGAAAAGAGAAAGGAAGTCTACATAAGCACCATCTTCTATCCACTTTTCTGTACTGGCTTCCCCTTACATGCAGAGCAGGCTTTGTGGACCACAGGAGGTACTGGGAGGGCACAGTGTTGGTGGAGAAGGTCCTTACATGCTCTGCTAGAGTATGATTGATAGCGTACTTAAGAAAGCCAACTTTATTTGTTCTTGATGTGAATCAGACTTTAAGGATTATGATTTTAGTCTTTTGAAAGTCAATGAATACTGTACTATTGCTACCTTAGTATTCATCCTTGGAGACTATGTCTTAAGTCCTCCTCAAATACTTTAAGTACTCAGAAGACTTGAAGAGACAAAAAGTATAACATTGGACTTGTCAGCATGGAATTTCTCAGGAGGATTTTTCCTTTTAGAACAATAGTTTGGTGGCCTCTAAATCTTTTCATTTAGATGGTGTGAATTAGTAGAGAAAATCTCAGATGAAGGACTCCAAGACTAAAGACTCAGTATTCATCTCAGTTCACTAAAATATACTGACCTTTATGGTGATAAGGTGTTATAAAGAATACTCCTCCTGAATAGTTTTGTTTTGTTTTTTTTTCCCTTAAGTTGGATGTTGATGGACAGATAGACTCTATTCATTTACTCCTGTCACCGAGACAGGTGCACTTGCTTTTGGATATGTTGGCGGCTATTGCTGGACCAGGCAAGTATAATTCTGTTATTATATATACTTGTTACTTTTTTAAATTTTAAAAAACTTTAAAATATGTAATGTATGTACATGTAGGAAAGTCTCTTATTTTTGATATGTGAATTGAAAGAAGCAAGTAAGAATCTTAAGTAGTTAAATTTGATTTGGTATTTTGAATTGTGTTACCGTGGAACATATTCACATTCAGATTATGTGTGTCACATTCTTAACTTTTCTAAAATTGTTCTGAGTTCTTTGGTTGGGGATAGTACTTCATACAACCAAGAAAGTATAATTCTTGAACACAGTAAGTGGTGCACATTTTAAAATATTTTCAATGGCTTCTATCTATCAGAGATAAGATTTTGGGATTCCTGACTAGTTGCTTAAAGCTATTGCTTAGAGCTCTGACTCATTAAATAGCAGTAGTTTTGCACTGTGGTGTTCAGGTCCCATTGTTGTTCCATAAATGGGTTTTGGGAAAGAAATGCTTAATTAACTCCAAATTTAATTACTGTTTTGGTTTCCTTTTGTATGCTTGTAGAAAATTCTAGCAAAATAGGGTTAGCTAATAAAGATAGGAAAAATCGACCCATGCAGCAGGAAGACGAGTATCGAATTCAGATGGAATTAAACCGGTATTATTTGAGAAAAGATTCCCTCTCTGTGGGTGTATCTTCAGAGCAAAGCTTTTATGAGACAGAAACAGCTCGTACACCTTCTAGCCGTGGTAAGCAACTCAAACAGTTGACACCAGAATCATATATTATAATCATGGATACAATTACACTTAATTTTGGCTGCTGTGAACAGAAGTTTAGGAATGAAGGAACAAAAATATCTACATTGTAAGAAATCCACAACTTTTCATTTATAATTAATCACAACATTATAGTAATGCACCAGCACATGGGTGCTCTAGTATATTTTTTTGATTTTGATTGTATAGTTTTGTTTTGTAAATGATTTAGTCTAAGGAAAACCAATTTACAAAAATGTAAATTTGTGTGATAAAGTAGGTAGCTATATATTTTGTCAAATTATTATGTGCTCATGTAATGATTTATAGATTAAGAAACTACTAAACTACTAAAGTTTGATAAGGAAACTTTCCTTTCTTGATCTTTCCATCAGTTATATGTAAATAATAATCTCTACCCAGCTTACTTTACATTTATAGGTGTTTCACAATGTATAAGTGCTAATAACATAAATAATATGAATCAATTTAAGTATGGAATGCTGGACAAAATGAGAAATCAAAGCCTGCTAAAAAAATTTTGGCCATAATAAACTTCATTTGCATGAGGGTAAAACAATCCCAAAAGAAGAAACTGAAATGTAAATGGAATTCCGAGTAATGTTTTTGGCTCTGAATAAAAGAAGTAACTGTATCCAGATGAAACTAGAGGTTGCGATATATTTATACTATTTTAAAATCTGATTTTAATTCCTAAACTGGCATATCACATTAAAAATATACCAAGTAATACTACATTTATATATTTAAAACAAAAGAAAACATATTCATCAGTAGGATAGCTTCCTTTTTCATTAATTTATATTGAGTTTTTACTATGCCATTAATATTTTGGATTCAAATAAATTACTCCACTGGAAGTAACATAAAATTTGGGACATTGCTATATCTCACATAATCTGAAGGAAGAGGATTGTATTAACGTATATTAACTTACTTAAAAGACTTGAATTGGTGGGATTACAATACAAGTGACATAGTTTAATTCTCTCTAGAAGAAGAAGTATTCTTCTCCATGGCTGATATGGACATGTCTCATAGTCTCTCTTCTCTTCCACCCCTTGGGGACCCCCCAAACATGGACCTTGAGTTATCATTAACTAGTACATATACAAATACCCCAGCAGGATCTCCATTAAGTGCTACTGTGGTAAAGTATTACTTAATTTTTCTTCTGGTCTTGAAAAGTTGCTTCTAAAATTCTACACTTCATTCATGTGCTTTAAAAAAATCTTTTATAGCTTCAGCCCACTTGGGGAGAGTTCCTTGATCATCATAAAGAACAGCCAGTAAGAGGGTCAACATTTCCATCCAACCTAGTTCACCCAACATCTTTACAGAAGACATGTAAGTAAAAATAGACATTTGTTGTTAGTTTCTGCTGGAATTTTTAAAATGCCATTCTACTGGTGCTTTTCTTTCTTTTTTTTTTTCTTTTTTCTTTTTTTTCCTGGTCTTGGCCATTTACAAAGTTGAGAAAGCAAAAATGAACCATTGTTAAACAATTCACTGTGAAGTGTTTTAGAATAATTGCTCATTTATTGTATTCTTTGTGTATTTAAATACTTAAATATTTTTAGTTAAAACTACACTGTTAAGTTTCATATTATTATTGCAGTTTAGGACCCTCAATCAGTCATGTGATTTTTGTTTCACTGTTTACATTTTCCTTGAAAGAGAACCTCAGGTTTCTTTTCTGCCAAATTTAATTGATATACACCCAAGGCTTAAAGGAAAATTTGGCCAAATTTAGTTGATATACACCCAAGGCTTAAAGGAAAATTTGGTGAGCATACTGGAAAATCTTGAGTTTTCCAGTATGTTTTTATTAATGTAAAAGCTTGATTTGTACATTTACTGTTGTCATGTACTCTTGTACTTCAGTACAAAAATCTTAGATATAAGATGCAGCAAGATAGCAGTTGGTTTTACTTACATTAATTGTTTAGTATCATTCAAACTGTTGTATGGTCATCTTTTTTAAAGCTAATAAATGAGTATATGTTTTATAATTTTGATATAATAGTTTTATGTGTTAAATTTTATGTATATAATTTTAATACTTGTATTTCAGCTCTCCCATCTAGATCTGTTTCAGTGGATGAATCCAGGCCTGAACTTATTTTTAGACTAGCTGTGGGAACTTTTTCAATCTCTGTGCTTCACATTGATCCTTTATCTCCACCTGAGACGTCATTGAACCTTAATCCATTGACACCTATGGCAGTAGCTTTCTTTACTTGTATAGAAAAGATTGATCCAGCAAGGTTTTCAACAGAAGATTTTAAGTCTTTCCGAGCAGTGTTTGCAGAAGCTTGCTCACATGATCACCTTAGGTAAACTCTCACATATGTATTAATGATCCTTTAAACTTCCACACATGTGCTAATAATCCTTGAAAAAGAACCACATGTGGACTTTTGTATCTGCCTATCTGCATTTGTTTTTCTAATTCACACTTTATTTGTAAATGAATGGAATGAGTGAAGTTTTCTTGCAATGCTACAAAGATGTTTATTGTAGAATCTTTCATTCAGGTTTTTTGGCATGCGAAATAACAGATCTAGATAACAGGAATTTTCTAAGTGATCTCTTTAGCACCCTGCCCAGCTCTTGTCAACTTTTTTTTAACCACATTCTGCCATCATCCCTACTGACACCATTGCAATTGTGAAAACAGTTTTTATTATCACTGGCATTAGCAGAGATGGCAATGGTGATGAAAAATAAAAAAATACTGTTGGAACTGATCCATATGCCACTGGCCGTAGGGTGGGAAACATTAGCAAGGCTGATAGTGAACTTGAATGCTACGTTTCAACTTCTGCTTAAGAAAAATCAAAGCTATCCAAATAGCCAGTGAGTGATCCTTTCATGGATTGAGTCAATAGATGAAGAGATAATTGAATTTGTAATATAGTTTTTTTTGTTTGTTTGTTTTATTGTTTTTTGTTTTGAGACAGAATCTCACTCCATCGCCCAGGCTGGAGTGCAGTGGCACAATCTTGGCTCACTGCAACTTCTGCCTGTCAGGTTCAAGCTATTCTGCTGGCTCAGCCTCCCGAGTAGCTGGATAGTTTTTGTATTTTAGTGGAGATAGGGTTTCACCATCTCTATTAAGACTCACCATGTTGGCCAGGCTGATCTCGAACTCCTGACCTCAAGTGATCCACCTGCCTTGGCCTCCCAAAGTGCTGAGATTACAGGCGTGAGCCGCCGCGCCTGGCCTTTAGTATTGTTAATGAGCAAACTCTGTTTATTTTAATGTGAAGGTGATCTATAAATTGTTGAATGATGTCTTATACAGTGGTTTAAACGTATCATATATATTAGTATTTTTAAAAAATACTTTGGGCTTTTATTTAATCTTTTTAACTTTTTTTAAGTATGAAAATTGATATGAAAAGTAGTGTTACACCTAATACAAGAAAAACTTTACAGTTTAGGATTACAGTATTTGTAATCAAACTGTAAAAACATTTTGTTTTCTTCTACCCCTTCTTTTTTTTTCTTTTTTTTTTTTTTGAGACAGTCTTTTGCCCTGTTGTCCAGGCTAGAGTGTAGTGGTGCAGTCTCAGTTCACTGCAACCTCTGCCTCCTGGGTTCAAGCGATTCTCGTGCCTCAACCTCCTAAGTAGCGGGACTGCAGGCATGCAACCCACCCCCAGCTAATTCTTGTATTTTTAATAGAGACAGGGTTTCACCATATTGGCCAGGCTGGTCTCGAACACCTGACCTTAGGTGATCTGCCCACCTTGGCCTCCTAAAGTGCTGGGATTACAGGCATGAGCCAGTGTGCCTGGACTTTTTTTTTTTTCCCCCATTTTTGACAAGGTTTCAAATATCTGCCAGTAGGAAAATATAACAAAAGCAACAGAAAATAGAGGTAGACCTCATTTGGGCCTCACTGACTAAAGTTTTTGAAATATTGCGTGATGTTTTTAGGTAACTTTAAGAAACTATTTTATATATTTTACAGATCTGAAAGATTTTATCTTTGCAATGTAAATTTTTAAATGTGGAAGAGGAAGGGCAGTGTTGAGAAATAAATAGATCCTGAAAAATCTTCCATCAACAGAACTGATTTTTTATCTTAAGGAAAGGGAAATTTGAAGCAATCTTTCTGGTTAATTTCCTTAGGAGTATTAATTATTGATAACAACTTGAACTTGTCAGACTAGGTGGATAATTGTTATATGTTAACACTTTGTTCTATTCTTTGTCTACTTGCACATTGCTTAATCTAGAAGTATATGAATAATCTTAAATGGTGCATTTTTTATAATAGATTTATAGGTACTGGCATTAAAGTATCCTATGAACAAAGACAAAGATCAGCTTCCCGATATTTTAGTACTGATATGTCCATTGGGCAAATGGAATTTTTGGAGTGCCTATTTCCAACTGATTTTCATTCTGTTCCTCCTCACTATACAGAGGTAAATGTTGAATACTTTTTCTTTAAGATTATTTTTTAAATCTATCTTGCTTTTTAATAATTGTATGAGTCAGTGATTTTCTTTAAAAATGTATAGAAAGTCATATAGGAGGAATATTGTCATTTTCTTTTTGCGTTTGTGTTCTATTGAAACATTTTTAAGAATGTCACTCAGCATCGTTATAAGGATCTGTTAGAATTTTAGAGTTGACTTGTTTAGGAGTGACAGGTGGGTTGTGAGAGAAATGACTTCATTTCACTCATGTTCAAAGCACTCTTCATTTCAGAAGAATTTGATTATTGAACAAATAGTTATTGAATGTCTGCTGTGTGCTAAGCACTGTTCAAGACAAGTTAAATGTTTTGTGTTCATTTACCATTATTCTGATATTTTCCCTAATGTAAAAGTGTGACCTAAAGAAACTTTAGAAAACTGTCAAAGTTACATTCATTGCTGTTACTTTGACCCTATACTGTTTTATTTCAACAACACTTTGTTGGAAATGAATTTATTTGAATCCTCGCTTACATTTTACCATGAGATATCACAGAAGTTAACTAACTTGTCTAAGGTTCACATTGCTAATAAGTGACAAAAATGAAACTTAAAACCAGATTTCTGACTTCAAAAAACTTTTCTCACTATTATATGGGCACCTCTGTAAATTCATGTGATTAATTGTAGGTTAATCTTACCTTTAATTTATCTTCGTCTTTGCTTTTAAGCTTTTAACGTTCCATTCCAAAGAAGAAACTGGTTCCCATTCCCCTGTGTGTCTTCAGCTTCATTATAAGCATTCTGAGAATAGAGGGCCCCAGGTAAGAGATCTTTTTCTATAGTTGCCACCTGTAAATTTTCATCTGATATATATTTTGTCACAATTAAAGATTTTAACCCAATTTTATAGTAGTTTTTAGTGATTGGATTAATGCCCTTTTTTTTTTTTTTTTAAAGGGTAATCAAGCAAGACTTAGTTCAGTTCCTCAGAGGGCAGAATTGCAAATTAAATTAAATCCAGTGTGTTGTGAGCTGGATATCAGTATTGTGGACAGGTTAAATTCCTTGCTTCAACCACAGAAACTTGCCACAGTAGAGATGATGGCATCCCACATGTATACTTCATATAATAATAAACATATTAGTCTGGTAAGTATTCAAAAGCTGCAAATACTAATCATAATTATGGTTAGCTAATAGGGTTATTGAGATAATTTCTGAACTTAAGTATTTTTAATAGATTAAACAGTATATATTGTTAAAACAGTATTATTTGTAATAATAAAAAAAGGAGACATCTGTTATGTCTTGATAGTAGACTAGCTAAATAAGTTTTGATATACACTGAATGAAATGTCATGTGGTCATTTAAAATGATGGTTATGGCCGGGTGTGGTGGCTCACGCCTGTAATCCCAACACTTTGGGAGGCTGAGGTGGGAGGATCACTTGAGGCCAGTTTGAGACCAGCCTGGCCAACATGGCGAAACTCTGCCTCTACTAAAAATACAAAAATTAGCTGGGCATGGTGGCACCCATCTGTAATCTCAACTACTCAGGAGGCTGAGGCATGAGAAGAGCTTGAACCCAGGAGGCGGAGGTTGCAGTGAGATCGCATCACTGTGCTGCCTGGGTGACAGAGTGAGACTCCGTCTCAAAAAAATAAAATAAAATAAAATAAAATGATGGTTATGAAGATGGTATAGCAACATGAAGAAGGCTCATCAAGAAGGATTAAATGAAAAAGTAGAATATATTGCTTTATGTAAACTTGTCACACCTGTGTAAATAAAATTGATGTATAGAAAAAGAATGCCTGGAAATATGCCAGTCAGTAGCATTGCTTATGTTACAGTGGAATTAGGTTTTCGTTACTTTTCCATGTCTATCTGAATTTTTATAAGCTGTGATTATAATGTCTTCATAAAATTTTATCTATTTATATATTTGATAAATTACTTGAACTACCTAAAACATGTAGCCCAAACAATATGGGATATACTTTTGAAAATAATCTATTGAACATCACATTATATCACTTTTACTTGGATCTGGTGCCTGGGGTCTTTTCTAAGCAAATTAAGTCAGTCAGGTTTGCAAGAAGTCTATTAGGAATTTTGGGGCCAGAGGACCAGGATCAGATGGAGACAACCTTTGTTAAAAAGCAAACGAAAAAGATATTCTATTTTTCTACTTCTTTGCTTTTCTCTTAGTATTGAGTATTCACATCAAATTAGCATTCTTTATTAATATTATTATTATTATTGTGACAAAAATCTGTTGCCCAGGCTGCAGTGCTGTGGTACGGTATCGGCTCACTTCAGCCTTGACCCCCTTGGCTTAAGCGATCCTTCTACCTCAGCCCCCCAAATAGTTGGGGCTACATGCATGTGCCACCCAGTTAAGTTTTTGTTTTTTGTCTCCCTATGTTGCTCAGGCTGGGCATTCTTTATTTGTTACTGTTATCAATTGCTAGTTATTTTAGTTTCTGTGGGGTAGTCTCTGTATTAGCTGTTAACTATATATGCAGTCGGATGATGGTTTAATCTGTTGGGTTATTTTTGCCTGAGAGTGGTGGTTAATATTAGCAAATCAAGTGGGGAAGAGTTAGAATAGATTTGTTAAAAATCCAAGCCTAGATGGGTGTGGTGGCTTGCACCCATAGTCCCAGCAACTCAGGAGGCTGAGGCAGGAGGATTGCTTGAGCCCAGGAGTTTGAGACCAGCTGGGTGATACATCAAGACCTGTTTCAAAGAAAACAAACACACACAAGATTTGTACGTCTAGCATATGAAGGGAATTTTCTAATCATGGAGGTTAGAAATGGATTGAAGAAACTGAGGAGTGTTACAACCTAGAGTGGAATAAAGCTTTTTAAGTTTCAATATATTTTAGAGAAAAAATAGAAATAGATTTCTTTTTGAATGGCATGTTCTTTGACCCTTCTATTGTAAGGTGGCTTTGGGTAAATGGTACATATATCTTGGTCTCATAGAGCCATTTGATGAGATCATGCCCTTGGATTGGATAGGAGCTCAGGGTGCATCATTTAGTGAATATTTATTTAGAACCTGTGACGTGCCAGCCTCTGGGTTTTATCTTAGAAGTACAAAGTTGAGTCAGAGATTGTATTTGGCATAATTCATCTGATTTCACATTGAGTCTTTAAAGTCATATATTGGTAGAAAAGTCTTTCAAACTGAATGTTGGACACTATAGTGATTTTAACCATATTGAATTTGTTGGTAGGCTACTTTACACAGTATTTATAAATTTATAGTAAAATAAATATTAATCTGTAGTGCCTTTGTCTTCACTTTGGCTCAGTTTTCAATTTGATTTTTTTTTTCAGAGTTTAACTTTTGCCAGTAGTTTTCACTTTTGCCAATAGTTGTTGCATTATAAATTTGTTTTTACACTAAATTAATATGGTAATTTGAATTGACTTTTAATGCATTATACCAAATGGGGAGATAGTGATTATATATATTGTAATGTTGAATACTGTGTCATTTATGTTCATGTACTTAATTTAATATTTTGGCTTATTTTTGATGTTTTGTGTTTTAGCACAAGGCTTTCACTGAAGTGTTTTTAGATGATTCACATAGTCCTGCAAATTGTCGAATATCAGTGCAAGTTGCCACACCAGCATTAAACCTTTCTGTTCGCTTCCCAATACCTGATCTTCGATCCGATCAAGAAAGGGGACCATGGTTTAAGAAGTCACTTCAGAAGGAGATCCTTTATTTAGCCTTCACAGATCTAGAATTTAAGACTGAATTTATAGGAGGATCAACCCCAGAACAAATTAAATTGGAACTTACCTTTAGAGAACTAATTGGTAAGATTGAATGTGTCTGTAAAAGAACCATACTAGATAACAAACAACTGCTACTGAAACTTACATCACAAAAGTATCTGACAGCCCCAAAATTAAAGCACATTATGTTAAAAAAATCAGGAGCAACAATGTCTTTCTAGTATTGTATACAAATATATGATATAGGTAATTTTTTAAAAACTAAGGATGATGATTCATTCACTTTGTTAAAATTCCTGTTTACTGCAGGAGAATATAATACTTTAGCCTACATTTTTATTATCACCTCTCATTTATTTATTGTAGGACTGATAACAGAACTTGTTGAGTGTCACTGTATGTTAGATATTATGCTAAGCACTTGATACACATTGTCTTGTTTTTTTTTAGTCATCGTAATCACCATATGTTTATTTTTCCAATTATTTTTATAATTTAATAGATGAGACAGTCTGTGGACTTAAAAGCAAGTATCTACCAAGATCATGTTGTAGTCAATGGCAGAATCAAGATTTGAACCCAAGTCTGACAGTGCTTGAGCTTGAGCTTTCAACCATTATACTAATTGCTAGTGACTTTTATTTGTAAAACTTGTTTTGATTTTTTCTGTATTACTTTGTTTTTGTCAGTTAATGAAGGGAATTTATAAAAACTTCAAAGTGAACCAAGTCTATGAAGACCTGGAAAACCTTTTATCCTGTGGTTCCTAGACCACCTGCCTCTGCCATGACACCCTCTCTCTGCAGCCATACTCCCACCCCGCATGAGAAGAGTTTGCAAAGGTTCCCCTTCTCTCTCGGTTTTACAGATCTTAAGAGATATTTAAAATGAACTTTTGTCAATTATGACTTCATGAAAGGGCCTTCAGGTGTTGTGGGATCATCCCTTATTTCCAGTGGTGAGAAACTCATTATTCTGGAGGAAAGCCACTTTTCATTTGTAAAATGGATTGAAAAAACATGTATAAAATTTTTTGTTGTTGTTGTTGTTTTTGTTTTTCAGAGTCTTGCTTTGTTGCCCAGGCTGGAGTGCAGTGGCGTGATCTTGGCTCACTGCAGTCTCCATCTCCTGGGTTCAAGCAATTCTTGTGCCTCAGTTGGACGCCACCACACCCAGCTAATTTTTGTATTTTTAGTAGAGAAAGGGTTTTGCCATGTTAGCCAGGCTGGTCCCTTAACTCCTGACCTCAGGTGATCTGCCCACCTCAGCCTCCCAAATACTGGGATTACAGATGTGAGCCACCATGCCCAGCCCATATAGAATTATTTTGAACAGAGGTATTTCTTACAGTGTTTCGTACAAAATACATATTTAAGAAATGTAGTTATTTTTCTAGTGGTAGATTATATAGACTTTAAGAAGAAATAATCACTAATAGCACTTAGTAAGTGGTAAGTGCTTGCTGTATTTACTGTCATTATGCACTTTATGCAGTATACATTGGTACTTAAGAATTTGAGTTTGAACACAGAATCTTTAATTTATTGGCTCATTTTGTCTACCACATGTGCACATGAAACCAGAACGATTGCAAAATGCTGTAGTACTTAAGGTTGCGTTATGTTCCTGATTGAGAGGATCTTTGCTCCTCCATCTCTTCTTTTAGTACTTGAGAAGAAGCGCATTTCAGTAAATCAGTCTTGTTTTCTTAGGATCATTCCAGGAAGAGAAAGGAGATCCATCTATTAAGTTTTTCCATGTGTCTAGTGGAGTAGATGGAGATACAACATCGTCAGATGACTTTGACTGGCCACGGTGAGTAAGCAAGCACATAGGTTTAATAGGATTTTCCTTTTAACAATAAAATATTCTTCTAAACCAACATTTTGGCTATTAAATATAAGCTAAACATGTCCATCCTTGACTCTTTTGTGGTTCATAAGTGTGATGATGGGGTGTTCACATGAATGTGTGAGATGTGTCACCTTCAAACCTTGTTGTGCCATTTTTCTGCCTGCCTTGCTTTACTCCTCTCCACTGTCTGTTAGGCTGATCAGATTCTTAGGATAGGTGTTGCTCATACACACCTGGTAATTAGCATGAGTTTAGAGCACAAGTTTCACAAGAATTGGATCTACTTCTGTTAAGTAATTCAGAAGCACGATTTACATTGGGATATGTATCAATTCGGACAAAAGCCCGTGATCATTTATGAACCAAATAGCACCACTACCTAGGGAATAAGAGTTATAGTTGCAGCACAGCTATTCTCTTTGAGGGTTCCATGCCTCCTTATAACAGTGGGTGGATATGGTCATCAAAGGAGAATGAAAAGTCTGTGCTAGAGATGTTCTGTAGAAGCTTAGGAAAGGAAAGGGATTACTCTGGAGTAAAAAGCTCTTTAGTTTTTGTAGTCACAGGCTGCGTTAACTCAGTCGTCTTTAGGTTTTGTGGCTACAAAACAGCACCAGCCGTTTATTATTGAAATTCCTAGAGGAAAAGGTAACTTTGTTGTTAGAGTTTTGAAACTGTTTCCTAATCAGTTTCTCCCTTTTCCCTTTGAACAACTGATACAATGTGAGATTGATATAACATGAGGTTTCTTAGGTAGACAAGTATTTTATTATAGCCCGACAAACTATATGTGAGAGGATTTGGGTTAATGATAACTAGAATCCTTAGGTAAAATTTGCTGACTTTTAATGAAATTTAAAAATAACCTTTTTGCCCCCGAAAGGTCAGACCTTCAGTTAGCCAAGTATAAAATGTTAATGTCTTTCTATTACTTACTTGTTTCAGTTCCACACTTTCAAGTTTACAACATGTTCATAAGTGGGTTACCTTAGACATAATTAGACTTTGTAGAGAAGTTTAATTCTATCATTAAGATTTAACCAGTGGTGTTTGTATTAATTTGCACAAAAGTTAAAGTTTTGCTGTTTACACTTAGATCTTGGTCTTTTTAAAATTGTCTTTGGTATCAGAATTGTACTGAAAATAAATCCACCAGCCATGCATTCCATTTTGGAGAGAATTGCAGCTGAAGAAGAAGAGGAGAATGATGGTCCCTACCAGGAGGAAGAGGAAGGAGCTGCTCATTCCTTGAAAGATGTTTGTGATCTAAGAAGACCAGCACCGTCTCCTTTTTCTTCTCGTAGAGTAATGTTTGAAAATGAACAGGTAAGATAAAAGTGTGAGCAAGCTACAAAGGAATAATATTATTATTCTCTGTCATAGAGCAATGCTTTTAATTTTTTATTTAAAAAAATGCTCTTTGTACTGTTTTTGCTAGGTCTTAAACTTCAAAATTAAATAATATCTGTTTTTTCTTGGTGTATATTTTCTCCAGTTAAATGTTTCATGCTTATTTATTTCTCACACACCAAGTCCTATGGATAGGCTAAGAAGATGCTACTACTGTTTTAAACATAAAATGGTTATTTGATGCTTTTTTTTGCACTAAACTATTATGTTTTAGATGGTGATGCCAGGAGACCCTGTAGAAATGACAGAATTTCAGGATAAAGCAATCAGCAATTCTCACTATGTGCTGGAACTTACGTTACCAAATATTTATGTAACACTACCTAATAAGAGCTTTTATGAGAAGCTTTATAATAGGTGAGTTTATACCCATTTAGTTGAATCTTGGGAATCAGACTTTCTAATTGCCTCCCTGATTTTCCTCTTCCCCCTTTCCTTTCCTTGCCTGAATATTATTTGCCATCTCTGTGTACTTTGGTGTTGGTGGTGACTATTGCCGTTATGATGTTCTATTGTCATAGCAGAGTTTCCTAACTAGCGTGGTGCCGGGTGTGTGAGATATTTATTTCCTCAGCCCTGAGGTTGGCTGATTGCCCTCTGTCAGCTTACTGCAGGTTACCGATCCAATATGATTTTTTTTCTTCACATGCGGTGACATAAAGAGTTAGGAGATACTAATACAGCTAGCCAATGCTGGAGTAGAATCAGAACCCCAGTCATTGTACAAGAAGCATCTTTTCCTCAACAGTCAAAAAGATATCTTGTTGGAATTCAAAATTCTATGAACATGTACAAAATTTAAATTTATTATATTTAGATACCCCTCAATATTTATGCCAGGCAGATATTTTGATATAAATGGAATTCTAGGTCATAGACTCTGAAGGCCTTGCGCAGTTTACCTAGCCTCCATAAGACTCAGCATTCTCGTCTGTAAAATGGAGATGATCCTGGCTCCCACCTATAAGGGTTGTTTGGAGGATTAAATGATACAACACTTGGAAAGTTCTGAGAACAGTGATTGGCATATCATAAGCACTTAGTAGTTGTCTATTATAATTTCTACCCACTGAAGGGATTTCTCTGTAGCATACCTGAAAGATTGTCATGTAGGTTTCTAGAAAAAGAAGTCCTTAGTGTTTGTCATCACTAGCTTCCTACATGTAGACAAGTTATTCTAGTTTCCATTAATCTTCAGAAACTTCAGACTGTTGTTTCTGCTGTAGGATTACTTGGTATCAGATATCACTCGGTATTTATTCCTTAAATGTTAGTAATAAACCCTGGGTTTTCTCACTGAGTGTCAATAACTTTTGCTCTTAGAATCAGAAAATTAAGTTCTAGGATTCTTCTAGGGTTCACATTACTTCAGTGATCTTGAAAATGAGATTCAGAGAACAGTCCACTCGGGTATAGGAAGAAAATGTTCGCACTTATGTTTAACTTAAAAAATAATCTTTTAAAATTTGTATTTTTATATTTGTTTTATAGTATACATTATAAATAGCACCTAATTTATATTAAATTCACATTAGAGAGATTTCAAATTGTTTTTAAATGTTGGGGTTTGTTTATATATGATCTGCAGTTTGGAAATGACTGATCTCTAGGCTCCTCCTTTTATTTCATAGTTCAGGGCTATCTGCAAAGAGCTGATGTATGTGCAATGCTGAGATTGAGGGAAATGAAATGACTCTTTCAGGGCCTAGCCGAGAGATCAAAAAGACTTGACCCATTTTTTTTTTGTCATTCTGCACTGACTGAGCAGATTGCTTTCGATTAAATCAGGGTATCAAGAACAGTAATACATACCTTAAACATTCATTTTATAAATATATATTTATTTACCACTTCATTTCTAAATACAGGACAAGGCCTTTTCTTTGAGTATAAGCCGCTGATTGGAATTCTCTGTTGTCTTTTTTTTTTTCCTTTTTTTAAATCCTGCATGTGGCATCTGACTACTTTGTCTTTTTTTTTTTTTTTTTGCATGAAGTGTAGCCAGAAGGCATTGTCTACTGTTTTTAGTACCAGTTTCTTTAAAATGGAGTGAAAAAAATTTTTTCAGAGATACGTGAGAGGAGAATCTTTGTAGGTTTTTAAGACTTTTTTTTTTTTTTAACCGTCTGCATTAACTAAAACAGCACAGTTTTTATTTAAGCTATACTTATATTAACAAATACAAGCAGATTTGACGCCAGACACAGTTAGTCTTTGACAAGTATATAAAATATATAACTCCACTGATAGGAAGGTTCTCAGCTCTGCTAGAGAGACGTCCAGCAGCAGCAGGCAGTTAGCATACTGAAGGCTTCCATTGTTGTGGCACTTTGGAGTAACTGGGTAGGTGACTGCTTAAGTCAGGGAGTATGTATTAGAGCGTGTATTAGAGTATGTATCTGTTAATCTGGGTAGTTGGTTTAATGGATTGCTTAAGAGAGTTTCTATTCTATTAAATACCTTCCACTAACCACTTTTTGGTCTCTTAGGCCCCTGGAATTGCGTAAATACTGAAGCGCTCCCTCACTCTCTGGGATCGTATAAATCTTGTATCTAACTTCCTCAGGGTTTGCATCCTTTGCCCGTTATTCGGCTTTGTATTTTCAAATTAATATGTTTAAACAGTTTTCAAACATTCTCAGAGAAGATTTGCAGTACAGTACAAAGAACTCCCTGTGCCCCAACCATTTGAGAGTAAGTGGCTGACCTGAGTCCCTTCAATGTTTAGTACTTCAGTGTGTATTTCCCACATACTTGGACATTCTACGTTAACTGGCAATTCAGCTCTCAGAAGCAGGAAGCTAAACTGGATACATACTACTATAAGATCCTCATACCCCATTCAAGTTTTACTAAATATGTCAACACTGTCCTTTTATTTATTTATTTTTTCTGAGCAGGAGTTATAACCAACTTTGCCTTTATATATTTAAAATGTTGGTTTACTCCTTTAGTGCCTTGGTCAACAGGCTCTTTTTAGCAATATGGTTTTAGGTACAGGAGAATTTTTTCTGTGTCAAAAATTGTTTAAAATAGAATGTAAAAAAGAATTCTCATTGCTTTCATTAAATATGTATTGAGCATCTATTTTGTTTCAGCCTCATAGACACAGAGTCATGGTGATATGTCCTTACGTATCTTAAGCATTGTTTTGTTTCTTGATATTTCTTGATATTACAAGCACCATCCAATATTTGATATTATTAATGGTATCAGGACTGTGTTTAGACAAAAATATAAATAAAGAGAAAATAATAAGTGGGTAGATTATAATCTGAGAGTCGCAATCCTCAGTCCTGGTGTACACCTTCTAGTAGGACTTCAGAAGCTCAGGAATTGGCCTGGCAGTGGCTTCTCACAGAAGGGGGCAGGGCTACCTCACCACGTGGTGCCTTGACTGGTATTCACACCAGGCTTTACGATGAGTCTGGGTTTTGGCAGCACTTTCATGTGAGTCACGCACTGTCCTCACCAACTGTCTGTGCCTGTTACGTGACAGCCACTGTGCTAGGTGCATGTAGAGATGATCGACACAAGTCCCTCTCTTGGGTGGCTTGCAGTCTGGAAAGGGGAAACGAGGAAATTCAGCAGGGTGCTGTAGGTGCTGTGATTTAAGTGGGTCTGTGTGAAGGATGTGCTGTGGGTCCAGATCTTACAATGGGCTTCCTAGAAGACACGGTGAAGTTTGAGTTTTCTTGAAAGCTTTGAGGATGGATGAGGGAAGGAGGCTAGGACAGGGAAGGATGAGGGAAGGAGGCTAGGACAGAGGGCCATCTGAGCAGTGACAGGTAGTTCCTTGTAAAAGTAGGATGTGGTGACAGCCTAGGTATGATATATGCCTTCCCATTGGTTGCCAGTGTTGATGGGGCTAGTCTCGCTAGTCATAAGTCATAAGCACTTATTTTGTGCTCCATATGCATTCTTCATCTCGTGAAGTCTTCCCAGTGAAGCTGTGCTTTCTGTTGTTGATGAGAGAAAAAGCAGGTATCTCTAGGGAAAGAACTGAATTGATCCCACAGGTAAATACTTGCCTTAAAAAAAGAACTGAATTGGGAGCTGGATGTAATCAACATAATCTGGACTCTCATCCCCATTTTTCCACTAATTAGCCATGTAACCTTGGGAAGGTCACATAACCTTTATGAGACAGTTTCTTCAAGTGTAAAGTGAGAATAATGATTCTGCCCTGGACGCCCCACAGGACTGAGGGGAGGGTCAATGAGATGATGCGGGATCAGTTCCAGTTTACAAAGCGCTCTCATATAGGTGAGCTGTCTTCCTTTTTTGTTCTTTGTGGGTTTTTATTTTTCATGAGCTTCTGTCTCTAAGGTATATTTTGAAGTATAATATGAATTTGTAATTTGATGTGTATAACACAGGTAAAATTAGGCAAGTATCTAGTTAGGTATCTAATTGTGCAGATTCTTTTGTCACTGCCCTGCATTATAGCCATATAGGTTATTTTTTCATTGAAATAATGCAGTTGTTATTTTTGTTGTTTTTCCAAATTCTTGTAGGATCTAATTTCCATTTTGCCATTTAAAAAGTTATTGTTCATGTGATCTTTTGAAAGGATTTTTTTTTTAGTTTGTCTTCTGTTGAACTAGGAGTTATGTACTTATTTTTCAACTTTTGTCTTTATAGGATCTTTAATGACTTGCTGCTGTGGGAACCAACAGCTCCTTCACCAGTGGAGACATTCGAGAATATTTCCTATGGCATTGGGCTTTCAGTAGCCAGTCAGCTCATTAATACTTTCAACAAAGATAGTTTTAGTCCATTTAAATCTGCAGTTCACTATGGTAATATATTTTTAATTTGTTTTGATTTAAAATGCCTAGTTTATCAGTTAACAAAGTACTAACCTTTCAATTGTGGATTTAAAAATCTTTGTTTTTCATTGTAACTGTATTTTGTAATTTCTTTTAGTAATGTATAAGAATATTTCCTGTTTTCTATTTGTATATTGAGCATATCATTATCACTTAAATATGTTTTCTTTAGAATGATAGTGTGCACGTTGAAGTTCAACGCTAAAGAGAAAAACAAAATATATTTCTATGTTCACACCATATTCTTTGTAAAACTAAGCAGGTTATAAATATAAAATATTTTCGTGATCATTTTTAAGTTGTTTTAATAAGCTATCAGAACTGTGTAATTGTATGTTTATTTCTCATAGATGAGGAGAGTGGATCTGAGGAGGAGACTTTGCAGTATTTTTCCACTGTTGATCCCAACTATCGTTCTCGCAGGAAAAAAAAATTAGATTCTCAGAACAAGAACTCTCAGAGTTTTCTCTCAGTTCTTCTGAATATTAATCATGGATTAATGGCAGTGTTCACAGATGTGAAGGTGAGGTTTACAAATCCAAAGTGGTTTTTCAAATGTATCTTATTTTAAATAAATCTACTGGGATACATATCCAGTGATTGAAGTATTTGATTTTTTTTTATTTTTGAGACAGAGTCTCGCTCTGTCGCTCAGGCTGGAGTGCAGTGGCGCGATCTCCACTCACTGCAAGCTCTGCCTCCCGGGTTCACGCCATTCTCCTGCCTCAGCCTCCCATGTAGCTGGGACTACAGGCGCCTGCCACTGCACCCAGCTGATTTTTGTATTTTTAGTAGAGACGGGGTTTCACCGTGTTAGCCAGGATGGTCTCGATCTCCTGACCTCGTGATCCGCCTGTCTCGGCCTCCCGAAGTGCTGGGATTACAGGCGTGAGCCAGCGCGCCCGGCCAGTATTTGATATTTTGAGGTTGTTTCAGGGACTGATGAAGACCAGTGTTCTGGGGCAAACCATGATGACAGCAACTTTGGGGATTTAGCTTTTGTTGCAGATCAAACTTTGTGTGGCTCTCCCTTTGGAAAACAGGTGCTAATTCTGCTTCTGGGGTGACAACAAAGTACAGAGATTCATCTGATAGACGAGGTTCCACATAGCATTTAAGTTATCCAGTTTTGTTTTTTACCGTGATATTGAATGGTTCAAGGATTAGATTGCTTTGCTGCAATATGGGAGATTTTCCTAAGCTGAATCAACAAAGAGCATCTCAAGGGACATGCTTACTTTTCTGCATTTAAATAATAACTTATGTGTTTTTCTGATGTTTTTACTAGCAAGATAATGGAGATCTGTTGGAAAACAAGCATGGTGAATTCTGGTTAGAGTTCAATAGTGGTTCATTATTTTGCGTGACAAAATATGAAGGTTTTGATGACAAGCACTACGTTTGCCTTCATTCTAGCAGTTTCAGTCTATACCACAAAGGTAGGACAAACATGTGTCTTGGTTTCTTCTCTTTCGACATGTTTAAATTTCTTGTTTAACAAAGAAAATCTATTGAGAACAGAACTTTGGTATTAGAAATTATTTTCTCTGCAGGGTTCTGATTCTGCTGTCAAAGTAATATTTACAAATTAGAAGTCAACTTCAGGTTCTTTTTTTGCAATAGCTTTGTTGAGATATAATTCACACACCATACTCATTTAAAATGTACCTTTCAATGGTTTTTAGTATTTCACAAGAGTTGTGCAACCATCACTGGAGTCAATTTTAAAACATGTTTATTACCCCATGAAGAAATTTCATACACTTTAGTGATAACCTTTCACCTCTTCCACTCTCTCCTTCCTATAAACACACTAATCTATACTCTATTTCTATGGATTTGCATATTCAGAAGTTTCTTATAAATAGAATCATACAATATTTGGCCTTTTTGACTGGCTTCTTTCATTTGACACACTTTCAAGGTTCGTCCAAGTTGTATCCATACTTCATTCCTTTTTATTGCCAAATAATATTCCACTGTAAAGATAGATCAGATCTTATGTGTCCGTTCATCAGTCGATGAGATTTTATGTTCTTTATTCTCCCTTAAGGAATATTTCCTTTTGGTTCCAGATATAGAACTTACCATTTTTTGAGCAGTTACCTGAGTTTACCTTGTTTCATAGACATGAAATGTTTGTGATGGTTTTCTATTTAATTTTCCTAGCATTTCAGAATTTTTTGTTTCTTTGAGCTGTGCACTGTCAGTCATACTAACATTAGCAAAGAGTAGTGGATTATTAATGCCATGCTGGTTTTTGTCATCATGCCTCCTTAAGTTATATTCAGTGGAAGTATGTGGAGTTTTGTTTTGAGTCATGTAAGTTGATTAGCTAATTTCAAGTACCATTTTGTTACTGTTTTTACCTCAATGTGGATCTCTAGGCATAGTGGATGGAGTGATTCTCCCGACAGAAACACGACTGCCCAGCTCAACCCGCCCACACTGGTTGGAACCTACTATTTATTCCTCTGAAGAAGATGGCCTCAGTAGAACTTCTTCAGATGGAGTTGGAGGAGACAGTTTGAATATGCTGTCTGTTGCCGTTAAAATACTGTCTGATAAATCAGAGTCCAATACAAAGGTTTGTGTTTTGTACTTTTATGCCATTAAGTACTTGCTGTTGATTTGATTCTAGTTAAAAATAATTGCATAAAAGGCAACATATTTATTTTCTTGGAAAAACTTTTGAGTTACAGGATTACATGGTGGTAAATGTCATTCTTTGTATTGTTCTGTATAGGAATTTCTCATTGCCGTAGGACTGAAAGGAGCCACACTCCAGCATAGAATGCTTCCTTCTGGGCTTAGCTGGCATGAGCAGGTAAGAGAGCTATTATGTATGTATCAATTTATTTAAAAATTTGTATTGACATCTAATACACATACTGAAAAGTTTGTAAGTCATAAATGTTCAGCTCAGTGAATTATCATGAAGTGAATACTACTGTGTCACCACCTTTTAGGTTAAGAAATAGAACAGTATTGGCCGGGCACTGTGACTCATGCCTGTAATCCCAGCACTTTGGGAGGCTGAGGCAGGCGGATCACCTGAGGTCAATAGTTCGAGACCAGCTTGGTCAACCCTGTCTCTACTAAAAATACAAAAATTAGCTGGGCATGGCGGCACACACCTGTAATCCCAGCTACTGGGGAGGCTGAGGCAGGAGAATTGCTTGAACCCAGGAGGCAGAGGGTGTGTGCGGTGAGCTGAGATCCCACCGCTGCACTCCAATCTGGGTGAAAGAGTGAAACTCTGTCTCAAAAAAAAAATAAAAGCAAAGCAAAGCAAAACAAAACAGTATTATCACCTCAGAATGTAACTGATTTTTTACCTTAAAGTGTGGTCCTCAAAACCTCTCAATGACAGAGTTATCTTTTATGTCATTAAAGGAAGGGAAGGGACTCTATATCCCAGGACTTGTAGAACACCTGGCATAGAGGAGCGGTGAATGGTGTGTTGAATTGCTTTTATAATCAGAAGTTCTTTAAGTGCAATATTTCCATATAATTCCCTAGGCCAATAATATGATGTTGCTTTAAAGCATTTTATCAGTACTTCTCTCATTAATTTCCAGTTGAACAACATTTTATGGTAATAAAATACAATTGGTTCTTTTTCAGAGGAGACTTTGAGGAAGAAGTTAGCTTTTCCTTACGTGAGAATAAAAACTAGTGCACTGTGATTGCTTCTCATGTTTCTTGTAAAGGGGAACTTCTTAATTATGCTGGGAAAATAATACATTGTTTAAAAACTTGAATGTTTTCAAAATGCTTTTCTCATGAAAGCATTTGGGAAACATGAGGATATCTGACTTTCTGTCTATCTTGTAGGAGTAGAGAAGTGGTTTGTGTGAATAATCAGCTGGAAGGGAGACATTTATCTGAACCTCCTTATTTGTTTGGATTAGAAATATGAGAGAATAGATGTTGGTGAGAGGGACTAGTTTTTAGACTGAGCTAGGTATAAATTAAGGAAAAAGAGCTTCCTTCAACAATGACTTATATGGAAAACCAATACCCCCCCACACAGTGAGTTATATAGGAAGCCAGATTAATAGTTGTAAGCAGTCTTCAGCAAAATTTATTTTTTCTAAGAATTGTTCCAAGCCAAAAAATATGAAATTATATTATGCATACATTGTTATTAATTTCATAAGTTATGATTTTTCTGAGATTTCTATAGCATTGGAGTTGTCCAATAGGCTTCTTCATTTCAAATTCTAATTTTGTAAATACTTTAAAACATTTATTATATATAAGGTGAATAACATGTTTTGATATACATTGTAAAATGATTATTATAGTCAAACAAATGAACACATCCATCAGTATCCATTACCTTCTTTTCTGATGCAAGTACTTTTTGAAACTAATTCCTTCAAAATGATGATTTTTTTCCTTTTGCTGTTATGATTTTCCAATTAAGTGATTTTTTTCTATGAGATATTCTGGTTTACATTGGTATTAAGGATAGTATATGAAACCTTTTTTTTTCTTCTAAAGCAGGGCATTTTAATTTTTTGTGATTATAGATTTTATACTTCTTGAATATTGCTGATGAACCTGTTTTGGGATATAATCCCCCAACTTCCTTTACAACTTTTCATGTTCATCTTTGGAGCTGTGCACTTGATTATAGGTAAGTTCACAAATGGAACAAAATAAAGTTTTATTATTTAAAATACATACTAAATTTTGAAAAAAATACATAATTCAGTAGAGTTAAGATGCAAATTGTTGTTGTTTTTAAAAGAGTTTCTGGGGCCGTATCAAATTGACATTCTTTTGTTTCTCTTTGGCATTAGACCCCTTTATTTGCCAATCCGATCTCTTCTTACCGTGGAAACATTCAGTGTTTCCAGTAGCGTTGCATTGGATAAATCTTCTTCTACTCTCAGGTACCTGTGTAGACTTCACTGTATACTAAACATAGCTGTTCAGAACATACCAACTGATATTTACCTAAACCATTTTATTAAAGTCTCAATTTTTTGTTAAAATAAATGTTCTCTTACTAATAGTGATAACCTTTTACCCAAGTTACCCAGTTTTTCTCAGGTGACATGTTTCATCTACCCATTTATTATTGCATTTCATTTTTAGGGAATAAATTAATTCTGGAGATTCTTTTTTTTTTTTTTTTTGAGGCGGAGTCTCGCTCTGTCGCCCAGGCTGGAGTGCAGTGGCCAGATCTCGGCTCACTGCAAGCTCCGCCTCTCGGATTTATGCCATTCTCCTGCCTCAGCCTCCTGAGTATCTGGGACTACAGGCGCCTGCCACCTCGCCCGGCTAGTTTTTTGTATTTTTTAGTAGAGACAGGGTTTCACTGTGTTAGCCAGGATGGTCTCGATCTCCTGATCTCGTGATCCGCCCGCCTCGGCCTCCCAAAGTGCTGGGATTACAGGCTTGAGCCACCGCGCCCGGCCCTGGAGATTCTTTAAAAGTTTGCATTTTAAAACATACAGTAAACTTCCCATAGTACCTGTTACACTTTATAATTTTTATTTAATTTTTTTATATTTTAGAGACAGGGTCTTGCTCTGTGTGGCGCAGGCTGGAATGCAGTGGCATGATCACAGCTTATTACAACTTTCAACTCCTGAGCTCAAGCAATCTTCTGCCCTCACCCTACTGAGTATCTAGGACTATAGACGTGTGCCACTATCCCTGGCTGATTTAAAAAAAAAATTTGTTTTTGTAGAGAAGGGGTCTTGCTATATTGCCCAGGCTAGTTGAGAACTCCTTATCCTCCTGCCTTGTCTTCCCAAACGGCTGGGATTACAGGTGTGAGCCGCTACATCTGGCCCACTCTATCTTTATACTGTAGTTTAAACCTTGTGAATTTGGGCATCTCTTTAAAAACTGCCAAAAATTTAGAATTAATTTGAGTAGATGATTTAATCTAATTCTTTACACAATTTAAATATTCCTAGCATTCATAAACAGTTTTTAAAAAATGTTAGATGACAGTTACTAAGTTAGAAACTGCCTATAATTTCAACAGTGTTCATACAAGAAAGAATGATGCAATTAAGCATATAGTGATTCTGGGGTATGATACTCAAAGCTTAGGTTTTCAGATGTTGGTTTTATCTTTCTTGCCTCAGAATAATCTTGGATGAAGCTGCTTTACATCTATCTGACAAATGCAATACTGTCACTATAAATCTGAATAGAGGTAAGAGTTAAAAAAAACCAATGGAGTAGATGAATTCTGCCTCATTTTTGTGTGTGAATAATTTGAAAGCATTTTAACTCTGGGATAATGCTAGTGAACTAAGAATCTTATTAAAGATCCTTAGAGATTAAAGGGTCTTTCAGTATATAGTGATCGTGTGGTATATATTCACAGCTTAGTTTTTCAGATGTTGGTTTTCAGTTTGAAATTGTAATGTTCTTATAATGCTAGTTAAGTACATCAAATTACTATATATGCTACAAATTTTTGTTTAAGATAATTTTTGTTTCTAACAAAAAATGAAGTGAATTTTAGGACTTTTATGGGATGAAACTATATTTTCATCGCATTATAATTATTTGTAGTGCTCTCTACAATGAATTTTAAAGGAATGCTCGTTGTATTGGGTGTTGGTTGGATACACATTTTTGAAAGCTGTACTCTGAGATTTTCTTAATTTAAAAAATTTTAGATTATGTTCGTGTGATGGATGTGGGGCTTTTGGAGTTAACCATTACTGCAGTGAAGTCTGATTCTGATGGAGAGCAAGTAAGTTATTAAAATAAATGAAAATTTTAAGTTCTATTTTTTAAGAGATTAAAAAATTGAGTTTTTTTCTGTGTACCTAATTTTGGTCAGAAATAAATACATTAAAAATGGGTTTATTTAAATACTTTTTTAACGTAGCGAGACAGATTATCATATATCTTATTTCATGTAAATCTATGCAAAAATAGAAACTTCTGTCTCGTTTGGAAAACATTTTCATCCCTTTTTCTGTGTCTCGTCCAGACTGAGCCCCGCTTTGAGTTACACTGTTCCAGCGATGTCGTCCATGTCAGAACATGCTCAGACTCTTGTGCTGCACTAATGAATCTCATTCAGTACATTGCAAGCTATGGTGACTTGCAGACACCTAACAAGGCAGACATGAAGTCTGGAGCCTTTCAAAGAAGGTCTAAGGTACAGTCAGCAATGTTATTCCTCTAGTCCCTGCCATATCGTGACATGTTTACATTATTGAGGTCTTCATGACAGTCATAAGGTAGAAAAGAAACTTTGAAAGTCATTCATCTGTTCTTTACCTTCAGAATAATGGGGTCTGGAAGGGTGATTTCATGGGCCTTTTTGGAAAACCATTCTGCTGCTTTGATATTCTTTGTTTCCATTAATCTTCTTAACAAACATCATACTTTTTTTTTTTTCTAGACTTAAGTTATTTTCATCTGTCCTAAGGGAAGAAAGAAAACATTTATCATGTAAAAGCTTGTTCTATGCAAGTTGTACGTAAAAATGCTCTGAAAAGATAGATGGCAGGTGTTAGTATTGTTACCAGAAGACTTAATTTATATCATCGTATTTTCCCTATTTCTTATCTCTAAGACAATCCAGTTTTCAATGTACTTTCTCATATATGACTTCCTTTTCCTTTCATGATGACCTAGTGAGATAGAAAGGTTAATGATTAATAAGACCCAGTGATTTTAGATGATTGCCCTAATGAACAGCAGAAACAGCAGCAAACCCAGATATTTTAGTGTCTAGTTCAATGCACTTTTCTGCCCCAAGTGTCGCCTTTCTAACTTCTCTTATGTCCAAATTGAAGAATGTCCAGTTTGTTTAGCATTTTTTCTTTTCCAGTGTTGTTCTTTGTGGTCTCTCTTATGAACAGAATTCTCAGTCCCTTTACGTTCTAGAGCCTCTGTTATGTACTCTAGCAAATGCCTGACTGGCATTGTGTTTGTTTTCTTTTGTTCAGGATTATTTTACACTTTATTTGTGTTACATTTCTGTTTGTGACTCTTTGTTCCTGCTGTATTCTCATGATACGGTGATTTATGGCACCCTTCCTACTGTTTATTCCCTTTTAAAAAACATTCTTCTTATTTTAAATTATCCCTTTCAGCTTAGAACTTGCTATTTTAGAGTCATACTCACATATAAAAAGCATGATCTGGGTTTAATGAATCTACAGTTCACTAACCAAAATGGTTAGGTATGGGTGCTGGAACTAAACTCTGAATCACTGTTTAGTAGATTTCCCCTGCTGTGTGTTTCCCCTACTGTGGTTAGGTGTCCAAGAAATGAGGCTTCAACCTACAGGGACTTTATGTCAAAGGGATGAAAGTCATTGCAACCATCAGAGTTGAGGAGATCAAACTTATTTAGTTATCCCCTTTCCCAGCTTTATTGCAGTTTGTTCACCTTCCCTGTTTTCAAGTGCATTGCCTCTTCAAGATCCCAGTTCACTGTGCTCACTTTGAGGTGATGACACGTTTGTTGCTCTTTGCCAGTATCTGTTAGGGTGATAATACTAAAAACTTGAAATATAACAGCTGCTGGGCATAGAAAAGTGAGTAGGTTTCTATTTCTGATGTTTTTGTACAATGTACAATGTTTTTGTACAGTGTTTCTGGGATAAAATAAATGTAAGTAGTTTGCCTCTTAAGAGCATTTTCAGTTATTTTTAATTAGGTTTTTTGTCTATAGGTAGATTCCAGTGGTCGATCATCCTCCCGTGGTCCAGTACTTCCTGAAGCAGATCAACAAATATTACGAGATCTGATGAGTGATGCTATGGAGGAGATTGACATGCAACAAGCCACCTCGTCAGTAAAACCACAGGCTAATGGTAAGACCAGGACTCTTCTCAGGGAGCACTGATGTTAATGTTGGGGCTTACATTATTTGTGTTCTCATAAACTTAATAAGTCATTTATTAAAGACGCATATGAGTTTTTATAGATACCTGTTAATCATTCAGCTTGTGTCTGCTCAGTGTCTAGTAAATACGTAACTCTGGCCAGGATGGTGTCAGGGATACAGAGGGAGTAGAAGGCAGAGCTTATATTTTCTGATAGCTTGTAGCCTAGTAAAACAAATGGTCACAAGACTGGTGCCAATACTTAGACCGATTGATAAATGATGTAAGAAAACACTTCAAATGTGGTATATCCTCTGCTCCCCTCAGAAAGGATTGGGATAATTTTATTAGACTTTAGTAAAGTAAGATGGCTTGGCTTTTTATAAGTGGATGGGATTTAGGTAGGTAAAGAGGGAGGAGAAGGTGATCTTGGCAAGGTCACTAACATCAACAGAACACAGACAAAGGCATGCATGAGCCTCAGTTATTTAGCCATGACATTCGGGCTCTTACTGAAACAAAAGTTCCCTTCTTGTTGAAAAGAATTAGATAATAAAGTTGGATAAGCAAAGAGGGACCCAGGTGATTCAAGATCCTTGAAAGCCAAATGGAAGCAGGTAAACATTTTAAAGCCTCTATTTCAACAGTATTTTTTTCTAATTGAATGGTCATAGCTGTATCTATATATTGGGAAATCTTAATTAAAAAATTATTTCATGGTGTTTTAAAAGTCTAGTGTTAACTGTTGCTTTCTTGCTAATTTAGGATAAATTAGAACTAAGGAAGCAAACTGGGACTTCTAGTGTTCTATGTACTACAATATTTGTAATAAATATTAGCAGCTAGGCTGGGCACAGTGGCTCACGCCTGTAATCCTAGCACTTTGGGAGGCTGAGGCAGGTGGATCACTTGAACTCAGGAGTTTGAGACCAGCCTGGCCAACATGGTGAAACCCCATGTCTCCAATTAAAAAAAAAAAATAGCTAGATGTGGGGTGTGTTGGCAGGCACCTGTAGTCCCAGATACTTGGGAGGCTTAGGTGGGGTGGGAAGATCACCTGAGCCCAGGAGACGGAGGTTGCAGTGAGCCCAGATTGTGCCACTGCACTCCAGCCCGGGTAATAGAGCAAGATTCTGTCTCAAAAATAAATAAATAAATAAATTTATATATGTATTTATATTATATTTGTGTGTGTGTATATATATGTATATATATTAGCAGCTACCTTAATTACATGGGAAAGAATATTTAGTGTTTATTTACTGGGTGGCTTCAATATACAAGATTCTGTACTAGGCCCTGGGTACCTGTAAGGGTGAGTAATTCTGAGGTACTGCTGTAGAAGAATTTGAAATCTAATCTGTGAATCTCTTAAAGCCAAAATGTATCTTGATTCAGCTTAGTGTTCTCAGCCCCATCACAGTGTTTGGTTTTAATGAATGAATGGGGAAAGAATGAGTATGAGTGACTCTTAATATGTAATATAAACATATTAAAATATATGTTGACATACAGATTTTGGTGCACATGTCATCTTTCACGATAGCTGCCTAAGATTAGGTGTCCAGTTTGGGTAACCCAGGCCCCAGGTAGTGGTCTTCTTTTCTTACTTGAATCGCTGTCTCCTCTGCCACCTAATGCTTGCTCAACAGCTATTCTTCTCTCCCCTCAGCAAGGCTCTGCTAAATGTAACCAGTTTCCCCTCCCATTGTAATATCGTTCAAGAAGTTTCTTCCAGAGCTCCGCCCATAGGACAGAATTGTCAAAGGTGAAATCCTGGCTAAAGCAAAACTCCACTCACACTAACTAGCAACTGCTGAAGTCCTGAGCTTCCTCAACGCCAACTAACTGAGAGGAAACTGTCTTTATGACATTGCCATTTCAAATTTATCATTAATCTTTTTATTAGGTTTTTTTGGTTTGTTTGTTTTTTTTTTTTTTTGACAAGGTCTTGCTCTGTCACCCAGGCTGAACTGCAGTGGTGTGATGTCAGCTCACTGCAACCTCCGCCTCCTGGGTTCAAACGATTCTGCTACCTCAGCCTCCCAGGTACCTGGGACTGCAGGTGTGCGCCACCGTGCCCAGCTAAATTTTGTATTTTTAGTAGAGATGGGGTTTCATCATGTTGGCCAGGCTGATCTCTTAACTCCTGACCTCAGGCGATCCATCCACCTCGGCCTCCTAAAGTGCTGGGATTACAGGCGTGAGCCCCCATGCCTGGCCTATTAGTGGTTTTTGATGTATTTCTGACTCTTGTTGAGGTGTTTTGGTTCATGTTACTTAAGCTGTCTTTAAGCCTCAGATTCATAGACTTATTTTAAGAAATAAATGAGATATTGCAGATAAAAGCACACAACATATATCTGACACATGGTTAAAATGCTTGTTGTTGTTGTTGATATTTCAAAGTGTGCCAAAATATTGTAATCTTTTTATCTAGGTGTTTTGGATGAAAAATCTCAAATTCAGGAGCCATGTTGTTCAGACCTCTTCCTGTTTCCTGATGAGAGTGGGAATGTATCCCAGGAGCCCGGCCCCACCTATGCCTCATTCTCTCACCATTTCATCAGTGATGCAATGACAGGCGTACCTACTGAGAATGATGACTTTTGCATTCTTTTTGCACCAAAAGCAGCCATGCAGGTAATAAATTAATAACATTATTGAAGTCTTGAATGGTGTTACAAATCGGATTGACCAAAGGGGTACCTGGAGAAAATTCTGTTGATTTTGTCAATTCTTTATAGTTCAGAATTACTTTGTTTTTTTAATATACTGTTGACAGTTTGTAAATGGTTACTGTACTTTACTATTTCTGTGACACATCTAGAGACTCAGAGAAGAATGTTATTTGCAAAATTTCCAACATAGATTATTGAGCTCCAGATTTTTTATGTAGTAAGATGACTCTTCAAGGATCGTGAAATTAAATGGCAGAAGGATCTGCTGCACAGAATTGCTAGTCCAAGAATTGGAAAAGATAAGATGTGGTTTGTGTGAAGGCTGATGGTTGGGGTGTGTTTGTGTGTATGTATAGATATAAGGGGGTGTGTGTGTGTATTTGGAAAGTTTCCAGGAATTGTCCAGTTGGTGACTGTATTTGTCTACTAAATTCTGAGAACCTTCTGGTTAAATTTTTAAAAATCCAAACAATCAAACTCAGGATAAACCTGTTATTAAAAACATGGTAATATCATCTGTGTGTTGAAATTTGTTAACTTTTGGTTTGCAGTATTGACTTTAAACAAAAAAAAAATACCCACACACTAAATTTTTGCTTTTTTATTATCAAACAAGTAGTGAAAGCAGAATTGTAAACCATAAAAAATCCTTGTGGAGTGGTTTACATAGAACAAAGAGAGTTTATTTTATGGTTAATGAAGCAGAATATCTTTGTGATGACTAATGTCAGTAACCAGCATGTTATTTTATATATTGGAATTATTAAAAAGAATGTAGAAGCAAGAATGCCCCTTGAGATGCGCAGCATAATCAGTTCTTTCTAATTAGAAAAGAGAGTATGTGTTACCTGTTTGTTTATTTTAGGAGAAGGAAGAGGAACCAGTTATAAAAATCATGGTTGATGATGCAATTGTGATAAGAGACAATTATTTCAGTCTGCCTGTTAAGAAGACTGATACGAGCAAAGCCCCCTTACACTTTCCCGTTCCTGTGGTTCGCTATGTGGTGAAGGAGGTCTCTCTTGTCTGGCATCTTTATGGAGGAAAGGATTTTGGAACAGTCCCTCCCGCTTCTCCGGCTAAAAGTTGTATGTAAGTTAATTACTATATAAGTTTATTTGGCAGGCCAATATATTCTTTTCATAGAAAAATAAATAGAATTTTCCATTTCCCCTTTAGAGAGAAAAAAGAATTTATCGTTTTAAGAATTATTAATAAAGTAGTATTAAAAACTGTAATTTAAATGTCACTCTTAGTTTTCCAATTGTGAACTTATTTGTATTATTCGTATTTTTACTAAAATGTTGACTTTCATCATTTTCATTCAGCAGAAATTTTCAGGTATCTACCATGTACTTACTTCACAAAAATAAGTAAGTCCTGTGAGTCATGTGAGTGACAGAGGGCAGTGAAATGCAAGAAGTGTGTCAGGAGGCGGGGCCCGGGCAAACCCTGTCCCCAGCATCCAGCAGGGCACTGAGCAGAGAGTCAGTGGTCATTGAGCGCCTGTGAGACAAGTGCAGTGTGCCGGTCGCTGGGAGAGAATCACGTGGACAGAATCTGTGTAGGGGACAGACTTCCTTGTTGAGGTGGGGCATGGCATGGAGGCTGCATGGAGCAGTAACATTTGACACAATGGTTCAGCAACTTTTTCTACTTAAAAGTGATTTTAAAACACATTGAACTTTACTATAATTATTTTGTGTATTAGTTGGGATTCCAAGGACTTGTGCTCTGACTATAAAGGGTTTCCAAAGTAACAAGAAGCTTATAAGGAGGTCTTATTTCTAAGTGTATCCTGTGATACGGATTCCAGCATCATGATTAGCTTTTCTGGTAGTTTTGAGTATTTAGCAAGCAGATGATTACTCTAATGACAATAATAAAACTGTGTGTTTTCAATGTCTCCAGAGTAAAGAAGATACGGTTTTGGTTTCTAGTAATTTGTGGCAGTGTTCTGATAGCTCTGTACTCTTACTTTGTCTTTCATCTTATCATTTTTCTTAATGTGATTCATTGACTTTCTTTGAATATTCCTTTAACAAAAGGGTTTTTTTTTGTTGTTGTTGCTCATTTTAGTAGTCCGCACAGTTCGCCTTCTCACACACCCACAAGACATGGACGTAATACAGTATGTGGGGGAAAAGGAAGAAACCATGACTTTTTAATGGAAATACAGCTCAGCAAGGTAAGATGGCATTTGAAAGGAAAAATCCACTTAAGTAGGACATTGCGGGGGGTTCTTTTGTTATCCCCCACCATGTAGTCTTGAGCCTTAAGTCCCAACCCTTTGGATTGGAAAAGTGCAAGGATCTTGTATAAAACTCTTACCTCTTTTTCATTCTCAAATGTTCTAAGAAGACTGAGGTGTTTTTCTTTTATTTTTGTTTGCCTGGACTACCTGTAGAGCAGTGGTTCTCAGAGTTGAGCAAGCTCAGAATCCCCTGGAGGGCTTATTAAAACACAGGTTTCTGGACTCCACCCCAGAGTTTCTGATTCAGGAAGTCTGAGGTAGGGTCAGACTGAGGAGATGCCGCCTTAGAGCATCTGTCTGGGAAAGCCTGTGTTTGGACACTGCATCTGGCAGGTCCTTTGTGAATGACTAGAGACCAGTAGGGCCAGACCACTGATGGCATCACATGCATTTAATTCTACCAGCTTGTCTGAGATTGTACCAAGTGTCATATTTTAGGATAGTTAGCATAGCAATATTGTAGTGATGACAATTCCATGTATTTAATCATATCTGTGCCTCCTTTTGGAACTTGAACCCTGCCTCTGTTGATTCATTCTAAAGCAGTTTCATAGGTATGCAAGATAATAATTTTGTGTCTTATTCCTACTGAGAATTTTCCTTGGAAATAAGAGATTTTACCAAGGTCAAATAAGAAATGTTAGTCAAGCTTCTCTGTGTATGGTAGGGTCCACATAGTCCCCCTTATCCACAGGCATACATGGTAATAGTCTCAGTGGATGCCTGAAACTGCAGATAGTACTGAACTTTATGTATACCGTGTTTTTTCCTATTTATACATACCTAAGGTAAAGTTTAATTTCTAAGTTAGGCACAGTAAGAGATTAACAATAATGAATCATAAAGTAGAACAGTTATAACAGTATACTACAATAAAAGTTATGTAAAAGGTGTTTCTCTTGGTCTCAAAATACTGTAATATTTTTGGACCTCAGTTGACCATTGGTAACAGACTGTGTAAAGCAAAACCTTGGACAAGCAGGGAGCATTGTAGATTAATAAAAGAGTGAACAAGTGAAGGAATGTCATGTTGTTGATTTTTTTGAAGGTGGAATCATAAGCTGAGGTAGAATTCAAAGGAAAGATGAGTGATATTTTGCATTTTAAAGAGAAAATACAGTTTAATAAAATGTAAAGAATTGTTCCACGTTCGTTCTCCTTATCTGTTAAGGTGAAGTTTCAGCATGAAGTCTACCCCCCATGCAAACCTGACTGTGATTCCAGCCTCTCAGAACACCCAGTCTCCCGGCAGGTGTTCATTGTTCAGGATCTTGAGATTCGAGATCGTTTGGCAACATCACAAATGAATAAATTTTTATACCTGTATTGTAGTAAAGAAATGCCTCGAAAAGCTCACTCCAACATGGTAAGAGTTAACCTCATTGTTTTGTTATGTTAGTTTTGGAAACGTGTTTTTATTATATCTAACTGCAGGAGAGTTAAAGTAGGGAAAATTACTAGATCTCTTTTCTCATTTTAATGTGGAAAATCCCTTTTGAATGTATTGCTTAAAGTTTTATGTTTAAAAAATTATTTTGTATGTCACTTCTAGGGTCCATTAACTCTAATTGCTAATAAATTGATATGTGAGGGAAACTAGAAGTCCCTAGTGATCTATACAAAATATGTAGTATTGCTGAAGGTGTTCCAGATTTCTAACACTCTTTACATCTTGGTAAGGTAGAAATGATTCATTCAGGACTTTGGAGGTCCTTCATAGAATTTGCTTTTGGAATATGGGCCTATGGTTAGCTTCAGGGTTTCAGTAAACTCCTGTTACTAAGTACAATATTATCCATCTGCAATTTTTCCTCTAAAGAGAGTCTGTATCTTTAAGCAGTTCCCCTCCCCCCACTCCCCCCATCCCCTACAGTGTCTCACTCCGTAACCCAGGCTGGAGTGCAGATCATGGCTCAATGTAGCCTCAACCTCCTGGGCTCAAACTTCCTCCCATTCAACCTCCTGAGTAGCTGGGACTACAGGCATGCACCACCATGCCTGGCTAATTTTTTGTTTTTTGTGGAGATGGGGTTTTTGTATGTTTCACAGGCTGGTCTGGAACTCCTGAACTCAAGTAATCCTCCCACCTTGGCCTCCCAAAGTGTTGAGATTACCAGCATGAGCCATCGTGCCCAGCCTTTAATCAGATTATTGATAAGGGGCATGTGACCCAAAAATGTTTGATTCAGTCTTTTAAGAAAAGAGGGTGAACAATTCCTCTTTTTCTCATACAGTATAGGAATAGGAATTTTTCTTTTTTTTCTCATTTTTAAAGAGAAGAAGGTCATCATATTATTGTGGAAAAATGCTATTCTCTTTCTTGCCTTGTAGTTGACAGTGAAAGCCTTACATGTGTGTCCAGAATCTGGCAGGTCCCCACAGGAGTGCTGCTTGAGAGTGTCGCTGATGCCGCTCCGCCTCAATATTGACCAGGTTTGTAGCATAAGCGCGATTCCTGCTGTTACAGTTAGATATAGACTGCATGTTCAGAATAAGGGAATTGCAATGTTTATCATTATTGAACTTTTATAGCAGTTACATACTTAAAGCAAACTTCTGATAAAGAATAGGGCAAGTTCATTAGATGTTTGGAATCTGAACTGTGGGTGAGTAAACATCATTAGATGTTATTCCCCAGTCTCCTACTCATGGTGTGATGTAGACCTTAATACCTGCTTCTTGTTCTCTAATCCTTAAGTACTGTACTCCCAGTTCAGATATGCATGTATTTTCAGAGTGTATTAGAGGATTCCCTGATGAATTGAATGGTGCTCTGTCTTCATTGAAGCATCTGGAAGAGAATTCTTTCTGTGCTGGGCAAAATGAGAAATGAGTAAATTGGTATACATAAAGAAGTCAGAAACAACAGAGATTTAGACTTTCCCTAAAAAAAAATTGGAATTGGGCACAGTGAAATCCACTTTCCCATATTCTAGCAGGCATCCCAACAAATTCTGGACTTTGCTTTGACCCAGAGAGCTGTTTAAAACATAGCTGGTACCTCTTCCAGAAACTTTTTCCCAAGGTGTGTGAAAATAGGATGCTTAGCCAAGGTATAGTAATATCATAGCGAGAAGCATGGGTTTGGAGTCAGACCTGGGTTCCAGTCTTAGTTCTGTAGCTTTTACTAAGTTGTATGGCTTTGGGTAAGTTACTTAACACCTCCAAGCCTTAGTTCCTTCATTGATAAAATGGGAGAAGTAGTAATACGTGTATCATAATGCTTTTAAAATGAAGTTTAAATAAATCAGTGTGTGAAAAACATTAGCTGGGTGCCTGACACACTAGGTTAGGGATCAGTAATGTTAACTGTTGTTATTTAATAATAACATAGCATATGATAACTGCAGAATATAAATGGAGTTTTAAACTAATCTGCTTTGAAATAACAAAACCCTCTTGACAGAAATTGTGTTGATATGAGCTCAGGTTTCAAAGTAGAGTATCTATTTGTGGAGTAGATGTTATTAATTTGCTTAAATAGTACTGATTGAATAATGTTCATTAGTTGTTTAAATAAAACTTGAATAAAAGCACGTAACAAGTATTTCAAGAATGAGCTTAAAATAGTATTTATAAACAAAAAATAGGCACTGTCTTAGAGAAAATGTACTGTGAAGTATAGAAGCTTAGCATAGCTCTACATTAATGCTTATAGCCTCTGAGCTAGATTAGACTTGCCAGTCAGTACTTAAGGTTTATGTTTTATCATTATGAAAAGAAGATATTTTGATATCCATACTTTAACTAAATTTATCCATATATTGATTGGTCTAGTGGAAATACAATGAAATATTTGTGGGAAAATTGATCTGTGGAAGTCGCCAGTGTGAACAAGACTTTGAGTAAGATACATCTTTCTGGCATGACTTTACCAAACTTAGGAAATCCAATTTTCTTTCTTTTTTTTCCCCCCGACAGTGTCTCACTCTGTCACCCAGGCTGGAGTGTAGATCATGGCTCACTGTAGCCTTGACCTCCTGGGCTCAAACTGTCCTCCCGCCTCAGACTCCTGAATAGCTGGGATTACAGATGCATACCACTATGTCCAGCTAATTTTCTATTTTTATTTTTTTGTAGAGACATGGTCCCATTATGTTGCCCAGACTGGTCTTGAACTCCTGGGCTCAAGTAATCGTCCCACCTTGGCCTCCCAAAGTGCTGGGATTATAGGCATAAGCCACTGTGCCCGCCCTAATTTTCTTTAATAGACTTTTAATTTAATATTGAACATAATTTCTTATTTAGAACTATAAGGCGTTATGATTTTAAAGTGGGGAGTTATTAATCTTAGAACCATCAGGGAAATAAATTTTATGACTATCCTGAGGAAGAATGAGAAATAATTCATTAAGACATAAAAGCTAGGAAAAAAGCCACACTACAAATATGTAAGTGTTAATGAGCTATATCACCTAACACAAAAATTCTTTTTAGTTTGCCTCTTTTAAGATTGCTATACCATATTTTGGGATAGTAAATGGTCATCTGAGTAGAAAACCAAATATTTTTGTTTATTTTTTCTTGTGAAAACAAATCAGTTGGTGAATGATAATGCTTTGAGTATTATTTTTCTAACCAAGCACATCCCCACTTACTCATCTTAATTGAATCATGTGAAGTATGAAAGCAACACATTATTCTTTCATGTTTTGGAAAAAGCTGCATTGCTATTGAAGTTAAGTGCAACTGCATCCAAAGCTCAGTGTTCCCATAGGGCAGGCAATAAGCATTGCAGACGGAATGAGTCCCATCTGGTGGATAAGTGGATGATGGAGGTCATACAACTAGTTTGAGATTCAAAATAGGAAGGGGGCCAGATTTCGTGACTCTGCTAGCCTGTTGTCCATTTTAGTTTTGTACTGCCGGGAACTCTGCAGGGAAAGTGTATCAATTCATTCAAAACCATTTGGTGAATACCTACCTCGTCCTAGGTTTTATGCTAGGATGCTGGGGATACAAAGATGAATAAGACATCTCTCTCTTCAAGGATGTCTTTATAGAAGACTGACATAAAGAGAGAGTTTTGATGTGCTGTGATTGAGTACAAGTGATACAGATAGGCATGGGATGGTATGCCTGACCAGAAGACGGCTCTTAACCTAGACTGGGAGTTTGGAAGGGTGAGGGATGCTCAGGAAAGGCTTTCTGGAGTTGGTGACATTCAAGGTGAATCTTAAGGAGTGTAGTGGAGCTAGGCAGGTGAAGATTTTTGTAAAGGTACCAAGAGCCTTATTCTGATTGTGGACTGGGATTGGGAGACCATTCTAGTAAATAAGATAAGTAAGTGCTCAACCCAGGCTGTATAGGATGAACACAGAGCACCAGTTTGCACAATTGTGATTTTTCATCATCATTGCTTCCTTGATTGTGACATTAAAAGGAATTCTTTTAACACTGTAAGTCATAGTGCAGTATTAATATCATGTATCATAGGATCTTCAAACTAGACATATTTTACAGTCAAAGTTTAGCATAAACAAGTTTTTAAAGTTTTAAAAAATTGATTGCATTGAGGTATAATTTACATATACTAAAATGCACAGCTTTTAAGTGTTCAGTGGAGGTTTCACAGATTTACACACTTGAGTAGCTACTACCCCAGTTGAGATATAGAACATTTTCCTTACCCTGAAGACTCCACTCATGTCCCTTCGTAGCTCATCTTCACCATCCCAAAGTGACTACTAACTGATCTTTTGGTTACCATAGATTAGGTGTCTCCTGTTCTGCAACTTCATGTAAATGGAATTGTACTTGACTTCCTGTACTTACCCTTAAGTCTTTGAGATCCATCCATGTTGTGGCATGTATCCACATTCATTTTTATTGCTGAGTAGGATTTCGCTGTGGATATACCACAGTTTATCTGTTGACCTGCTGGTTCACGTTGAGGTTACTGCATGGTTTTGGGTCTCAGGAATAAAGCTGTTAGGAAATTTATGTAGAAGTCTTTTTATGGGCATATGTTTTCATTTATCTTGGTTGAATAAATACACATGTAAGAGTAGAATTTCTGGGTCATAAGATAGGTGTATGCTGAGCTATCTTAAGAAGCTGCCAAACAGCTCTTCACAGTGGCTGCTTCATGGCACATTCCCACCAATAGCCATGAGAGCTGCGGCTGCTTCATAGCCTTGCCAAACTTGGTATTGTCGTTTTTAAAATTTGAGCTGGTATGCTTTGTGTACACTGTGGTTTTAAATGGAATCTCCCTGATAACAGGTGATGCTAAACATCTTTTTATGTGCGTATTAGCCATTTGTGTATTTTCTTTCGTGTTTGTGAAGTGTCTGTGTCTTGCTAGTTTTAAAATTGGGTTGTTTGGGTTGGGTGCGGGTTACTCATGCCTGTAATCTCACCACTTTGGGAGGCCAAGGCAGGAGGATTGCGTGAGCCTAGAAGTTCAAGATCAGCCTGGGCAACATAGTGAGATCTTGTTTCTACAAAAAATAGAAAAAAAATTAGCCAGGCATGGTGGTGCCTGCCTATATTCCCAGCTTCTCAGGAGGCTGAAGTGGGAGGATTGCTTGAACTCAGGAGGTGGAGGCTGCAGTGAGCCATGATCACACTACTGTACTACAGTCTGGGTGACAGAGCGAGACCCCCATCTGTAAAATAAAATAAAATAAAATAAAATAAAATAAAATAAAATAAAATTGAGTTGTTGATCTTACTGATTTGTAAAGAGTTTAGCATATATACTAAAATCAAAAAATTTTGAGAACATTTTAAAAAGCTGGTGATTAGCATCTCTTTATCTGTTGTTTTGTGCATTTGTGGTGAAAAATGAGTAGAAACTATTGTCTCTTTGGTTCCCCCCCTTTTTTTTCTTAAAGAGCAGATTGATACTTGAAAATTTGCTGTTTTTTTTGAAGGTAATCATGGAGTCCCACCATTTATGGCATTAAAATATCACCATCTAGTGGCCAAAGAATAGTCTGTTAAACTGTAAACATGTAATCTTTGGTAAAATAGGAATTATATATATTAAATGCGTATAGTGGAAAAATATATAAAATACATACATGAATATATATGTAAAGCATAACAATATAATGAACAATTCATGAACCCACTACCCTGCTTCAGAACCAGAATATTTCCACTACTGTCGAAACCACCTGCTTGCTCTGCAGTCCATTGCTTAGTCTCCCATATGCATGTTACTTAGAGTATCCTTTTCATTTGCATCATTTGTACTTCTGAGATATGTGATCAGTAGACAGAGCTTTTGGAATTGTCAAACTGTATTGGTGTGCCACCACATATTTTGACCCTTCACATTGCATTTTGGCACAGTATTAATGTTTTGTGTTAGTTTAGGGTTTTTTTTTTTGAGACAGTGTCTCGCACTATTGCCCGGGCTGGAGTGCAGTGGTGCGATTTCTGCTCACTGCAGCTTCTGCCTCCCAGGTTCAAGTGATTCTCTTGCCTCAGCCTCCTGAGTAGCTGGGATTACAGGCGCCTGCCACCACGCCTGGCTAATTTTTTGTGTTTTTAGTAGACATGGGATTTCACTGCGTTGGCCAGGCCGGTCTTAAACTCCTGATCTCATGATCTGCCTGCCTCAGCCTCCCAAAGTGTTGGGATTACAGGTGTGAACACTGCACCCAGCCAGTTTAGGATTTTTTTTTTAATGAAAGAAAAGAATAAGATCAGGCTTAGGCATGTATACAAATATATCCTCGAAGATATATTTGTCAGTTTGAGTGAGATAGGCAAAACGAAGCTGCCAACAATGGGCAAATATGGCATGTACATACAATGTGAAGATGGAGCCATGCAGTTTTTGTTTGTAATTATGTAATTTCAGGAGAGACCACACTGAATGTATTATTTTGATTATTTTGAATATCATGTTCAATGATGAAATGTATTAAGGCAATATAATGTATGATAAAAGCAGAAGTAAGTCATTTGAAACTTTGAAGACACTTAAAAGTGTACCCATGGTGAAACCCCGTCTCTACTGAAAATGCAAAAAATTAGCCGGGCGTGGTGGCGGGCGCCTGTAGTCCCAGCTACTCGGGAGGCTGAGGCAGGAGAATGGCATGAACCCGGGAGGCGGAGCTTGCAGTGAGCCGAGATCGCGCCACTGCGCTCCAGCCTGGGCAACAGCCAGAATCCAGCCTGTGCAACAAAGCCAGACTCCATCTCAAAAAAAAAAAAAAAATGTCCAGCACATGATTGTTGGTAATATTATCACCACAATGCAGAATGAGAGCTAGTGCCAAGAGTGAGAGTGCTCCATTTCTAAGGAAACTCAAATGTACTTTGATTTAGTCGTTTTTACCTTTGTAATCTTTAACTTCTGTCTCTCAGTTTTCATACCTATAAATTAATTTCCTCATAGAGTTATGAGAATTAAAAGGGAAGTGTGTATCTGTGTGTGCGTGTATGTGGTCGGGGGAAGAATAGGAATAATGACTGGCATAGAGAAGGGATTCAGTAAATTGTAGCTATATTTGAACAATGAGTAAAATATATGAGTTTAAGATACTTTGTTTCATAGTTTTAGAAATAGGTGATTTTTTTTCTTCCTTAGTTAAAATTACATCTCTTAATTTTAGGATGCCTTGTTCTTCCTGAAGGATTTCTTCACAAGTCTTTCTACAGAAGTAGAGCTTCAAATGACTCCAGATCCAGAAGGTATTAAATATGTATAGTTTGAAAAGGCTATACCAAGTACTTGGATTGATTTTGATTGTTATGAGGCTTTTTTGAGACTGTACTTATAATATTTATTCCCACTTATGTAAATGTGTTCTGTGTTTATTTTTGTTGATTTTTGCGAATGCTGTTTATATAAAAGTAATAATTTAAAAGGTGAAAGCAAATTTTCTCTGTAACAAGAATTGTATTTTGATTAAATAAAATGTAGGAAAACAAATTAGATCAAGTTTGATTTAAATGGTTGCTCAGAAGAAGCATATCTAATTTTTCAAACGTGCACATTACATTTTCAGTTAAAAAGTCTCCTGGAGCTGATGTCACCTGCAGTTTGCCAAGGCATTTGAGTACCTCAAAGGAGCCAAATCTAGTTATTTCTTTCCCTGGGCCAAAACAACCTTCCCAGAATGGTAGTGCCAATTCAGTGGAAGTGGTGAATGGCACGGAAGAGAAGAACTTCTCTGCTGAAGAAGCATCTTTTAGGGATCAGCCTGTGTTTTTTAGGTAACCAGTTTAGTTTTAATAGCAAATGAAGTTATTTTAGACTTTTGAAGATTGTTCTGTGGTGTGTGTGTGCTGGTAATCGTGAGGTTCCATCAGCTTTTCTTTGCACTGCCAAATCATCAGCTGGTGTATTTATCTGTATGTGGTCTCCATCTAATTGCATCCCCCTTATTTGCACATAGTAACCTGGTTCAAAATTCATCTCTCTTTCGATTCCCTGGCAGGAATTTCCTTTTCTTCTAGCTTCTTTCTTCTTTCTCTCCTCTGTCCCCTCTTTCCAGCAATGTTATGGCGTGTTTGTACCAGAACAATAGGATATCATCCTTTTGCTTTTTTTCCTTTACGTATCTCAACCTGGCTATACCTGTCTGTCTTTTCCTTTGTGGGGATTTTCTACCTATTTTCTCTGTCAGCCCTTCCCAGTCGTTGTGTGTCTTTCCTGACCCTTCCCTCCCCGCTCAGTGGGCACTATTGGGGTACCCAGGTCCCCAGTGCTGCTGCCGTCAGCTGTGACTGCTGCCCAGTGGCTGGGCCAGCTCGAACACAGCACACTGCAGTTTCCTCATCTCCAGACCTGTTCATTCTTCTCGTCTTCTTTCTTTTCCAGCCCTTGGTGGTAGGGATAGTGGCTTGGCCTTATGGGAAAGAGAAGGGATTGAAGATCAGTGCCCCCTTGTTATGAGGAACAGTTACATCTTCCCTGATTTTCTGTGCCGCTTTCTCACACATCCCAGGTTCCTGATTTCTCTCTTTCTCTCTAGGTTCTGAAGTTAGACTTTAGGTATGGGCCAAAGTCAGCAGTATTACTACTTGGAAGGGTTGTCACGTTTTAAATATTTTGCATAGTGATGAAAATAGGTAGAAAAAATGGAATATGATAATTGGAAAGATCTTGGAATAGATGATTTCTGGTGGTTCTAAATCTTTCCACCACCAAAGGAAGGACCTTTTAAAATTAATTTCCTACATTGATCCTTTTATTTTTACAAAAACATGTATCTTAAGTGATAATTTGCATTCTTATTTTATTAGTCACATTTATAAACTGCCAATTTGATTTTTGTAAACATAGGCCTGAAAGCAAAGAATTTTGCCTTTTTCTTTTTTTTTTAGCCCAAAGGAAGTTGGGTTGCTCATATATTTAGGTTTAAAAAGTACACAAGCCCTATACTTACTTAAGTAAATGTTTATTTTTTCCATTAGACTATTTAAAATATTGAGAATCGCTTATAGATTTTCATTTGTACTCTCAAAGGCTCCTAATCAGTGCCATAGTCTAAATTACACACCTTACAAATGAGTAAGTGAATGCCCAGAGAGATGAGTTGACTTGCTCAAGACCACAGTTCGTGGCCAAGGAACAACTAGAACACAGATCTTCTTATCCCCAATCCAGAAAATCCAGTACAGTTTTTAGTGATGTCATGAGAGCCCCCTTCCTCCAAACATTTATTCATTTTACAGATGTTTATTGAGCACTTTTAACTGTATGCCAGGTTTTGATCTAGGCACAAATGAACAAAGTAGAGAAAATATTTAATTGAGATTACAAATAATTAAAATAAATGGTTTGTCCTATTAATATGTGCCATGGAGAAAACAAAGAGTGAGAAAGGAGAGTATTGAGAGGGTACTGGCCAGACAGCCAGATGGAGCTGAGTACTCAGGGGATGGGCGTGACCTGAGCTCCGAGACTTCTTGTAGTGATTGGTGTAAATACAGCATCTCCATTTTGTTGTAGACGAAGTGGACTTTGGTGAGATGGCTTAGGATGTAACCACCAACATTAATTCTGTGGGAAAACTGTGTTTCAAGTTCCAAACATTGTTTGCAGCCAACTTTTGGAAGCCGGATCATTTTGTTAGATGTATATCATCAGTATACAACCAGCCCTCTATATCTACGAATTCCACATCTGAGAGTCAACCAAAATATTAATGAAAAATGACAATAAAAATAATACAAATTAAAAATACAAGAACGATTTGCACAGCATTTATGTTGTATTAGATATCATAAGTAATCTAGAAATGATTTAGAGTATATGAGAGGATATGTGTGGCATATATGCAAATACTATCCCGTTGTATATAAGGGACTTGAACATCAAGGGGTTTGATATCCATAAGGACCCTGGAAGCAGTCCCCTTCAGAAACCAAGGGACAGCTGTATAATTATAATTTCATTCTCACACTGTTCCCTGTATCTGCTTGTCGATATTCTGTTTACTTAGAAGCGTTAGTTTCAAGGATTCTCACAACATTTAACAATGTAGGTGGCATTTTAACAATTTCTGAAGACTGAGCAGCAGAGGGTTAAGTGACTGGTCCACAACTGCATCTCATAGATGAACCTGGGGTTCATGCCAGGATTGCTAGCACTTCTTCACCAGACAGTCAAAATAATTCCTTAGGCTTTCCCTTTTTATTTCTTGGTAATGACTATCTGGTTTAATCTTGAGGGTTGTTTTTATTAATTTGTTCTTTGAATGAATTGAGAATATATATAGGAATAAATTTTTTTGTGAGTGTACATTATTTCATAAACTGAGAAAAGTTTTCTATTACATTTTATTTTTGCATTCTTTTTTATTTTTATTTTCCCACAAGATATACAGACATAACTAAGAAAAGCTTTTTGTGAGAAACGCAAATATAATAATATATGAACGATTGACATCTGTTTAATTGTCATATTAAGAAAAGATAGAGCTAAAAGACATTCTCTCTTATTTAGTTCTTATATTTACATGATTAATTTTATGGTTTTGTTTTTATTCTCCAATTGAACAAATTAATGTATATCTAATTTCACCTATTAGTAATTGTAAATGTAAATAACTCCCCGCCTTCCTTTATCTTCAGAGAATTTAGATTCACGTCAGAAGTTCCCATTCGACTTGATTATCATGGCAAACATGTATCAATGGATCAGGTTGGGAAACTCTACAAATATACTCTACAAAATTATCTTATGTTTCTCTAATGAACTTGTTTTTATTTTTAACTTTGCTTTGTCATAGTTTATATATATGTTTGAAATGAAGTGCAAGGTTTTTAAATTTAATTGGTTTTAATGTAAATACTCAAGTACCATGAGTAAAACTTGGTATAAATTGGGTCATATGTATTGTAAATATATATTTTTGCTGTAAATATTTTGTTTTAGTATCAATAATGACTACTGCTTTGACTTTCAAAATAACAATGATTTTAGATGTTGAGTCTCTTAATTTACAGGTTAATTTGGCCTTTTTTAATTTTGAAGGGTACGCTAGCTGGGATTTTGATTGGTCTGGCTCAGTTAAACTGCTCTGAACTAAAGCTCAAGAGGCTTTCCTATCGACATGGGTAAGTGAATTTATTCTATGAAGCTTTAAGTGAAGTTACCAAAGTTAGTTTCCAACAAATTTAAAAACTGAGTTTTCTTAGCAAGCATACACAATTTTATAGTATTTTAGACAGCTCATTTTTGGAGAACTCTTACAGATTTAGGCACTGATTTCTATTCTGAGGGATTAGAAGTAGTTTGAAAAGAGTTATATTTGGAAAAAACAGTTATAGTTTAGGATATTTTAAATAATTTTCTAAGGTTGTAAATTAGCTTATTCAGTGAACAGATTGGAAGTTCACAAGGTAGTAGTGGTTCTTAGTAGCAATTATTGGCAGTTTAGAAACTTTGGGTTAATCCTATGCCAAAGCCTTAGATGTTCAAGAGATAAGAACAGTGGGAAGACACACTATTACCTGAGTCTTGTAGAAATTATTAACATTAGAATTGGATTTTATATATATGTGTGTGTGTGTATGTATATGTATATTTAGAGAAATTCAGGTCGTGAGTTAAATGCATGATTTATATTTCTTTTTGTTTTGAAAAATGTTTTGCTATTTTTGAAGCATCTGTAATATTTGTCCTTATAATTTGTAGATTTTAAGTAAAAACCCTCAAACTAATCTATGTCTATAAATGTATTTCTCCTTTTGACATACTAATAATCATTTGCCCTAGTTTACTAGGTGTTGACAAATTATTCTCATATGCAATCACTGAGTGGCTTAATGACATTAAGAAGAACCAGCTGCCTGGAATCCTGGGAGGTGTTGGGCCTATGCATTCACTAGTACAATTAGGTGAGTTTCCTTTTTTTTAAATCAAAAGATATTTTTTCAGATCAGTAATTCTTACCCTTTGAGAATTTATGTGAGGACCATCAGTCTAGAAAACTCACATATGTACTCGTACACACAAAACTTTACCTCCAGTTTTAGGAGTTAAAAACGCCAGGCTTAGAATGATTGAAAGGTCTGAACTCCGGCACTGATGTTGATTTTGTGTTGACTGTTCTAGTACAAGGCCTAAAGGACTTGGTCTGGCTCCCAATAGAGCAGTACCGGAAGGACGGCCGCATTGTCAGAGGGTTTCAGAGAGGCGCTGCTTCCTTTGGTACCTCGACAGCAATGGCTGCTCTAGAACTCACAAACAGAATGGTTCAAACCATACAGGTATCTTTCCTTAGACTGCCTTAGTCTGTCCAAAAAGAGCCATCGTGAAATGGTTGGGTCCTTTTGTTTTTAAAACAATACTGCGAAAATACACAAAATGTGAGTAGATACTTTATTTGTAATGATTTAATGTCATGCTTGTTTTATTGCTTAAATGTTTAGTGTTAAATAATTAGAATAAAGCAGTGGAATACAGTGTCAGATTTGTTTGCATGTTTCAGGTAAATTGTAAACATTAAGTTAGCAGAGGATTTATTTCACTATATTTGTATGAAAGGATCATAGCTAAGTTTGAAGAAGGCGTTGTAGATTAAACAGAAGTATTGAAGGTCATTCTAGTAAGTATTAAGCTCCATAGACTGATGTGGAAATGTTGAGTGTTCTCAGTGAACAGAGGAGGGGCTAAAAATTTACCTCAATCCAGGTGTTAGTTCTTAGTTTATACTTTTATGTTCTTGTTATAAAAGTCATCAATTCTTGTGGTAAAGAATTCAGATATGCAGAAGTGTCTTCATTAGGGCTTATGAGTTCCTCTCCTCTTCCTCACTCCCTGTAGGAAGTGCTCTGCTGGTCCCTAACTCTTCAGACTTTCTTCTAATTCATTTCTTCCTTTTGACAAAATGATCCAGGCAGCTGCAGAGACTGCTTATGATATGGTGTCTCCTGGTACCCTTTCTATCGAGCCCAAGAAGACCAAAAGGTTTCCTCATCACCGGTTAGCCCACCAGCCAGTAGACCTGAGGGAAGGTGTGGCCAAGGCCTACAGTGTTGTGAAAGAGGTAATTGAATACTTGGGTGGACACATCAGAACCCGTCTTTGTGCTTTCCCAACTTTCACCTAAAGAGCATTTAATGGCTTAAATTTATTCTGTAGAAATCCCTGGGAGCGGAATGGCAACTGCTGCTAATAACATGTGCCCATATCTGTGTGAAGTGATGGAAAAGGGCCAGTCTGGGACCAGTAGGCTTGCAGGAAGACTGGTGATTGTGTGGGTGGACGGATTCTCTCTCTTCACCTGCAGAAGCACTCAGGGAGTGATAGAAACAAATGCCGTGTGTTCACTGTCTAGGTTTAACACATTTATGCTCTGCCCTGCTTGCTTCAGATGTACCTAAGAACTAGAACTTTTCAGATGAATCTCCCACCCTGATCCTATTGCCATGCCTTCACTATGCTGAACATGGAACATATGTTTTTATATAGTTTTATTATATAAGTATGTATTCATAAGCAAAACATACTAGTGTTTATGTTTTAAAAGTTTCCATAAATGGTGTTATGTGTCTCATTCTGCAACTTATTTCTTTCAAGACAGATCCATGTTAATCTTAATCCATGTAGGTCTAATTTCAACAGTTTTATGGTATTTCACTATATGAATATATCATAATTTATTTATTTTCCTGTTGGGGAACATTCAGTTTCCATTTTTTCCCCTAAAACACCACTATGGGGAGTGCTCATTTAACTGTCTTTTTGTTCATATGTACAATAAATTATTTAGGGTGCAACTGGGGAGTAACTGTTGGAATCTTGAGATTTATTAAGCATTGCTGATTTGCTCTCTGACACAGTTGTGCCAGCGAACTCTGTTTTTTTTTTCTGGGTGTTGTCAGGGTCATTCCTTGGCATACTCTTTTTGACATTCTTTTTAATATGACATAAGGGAGTTTGAGGTCATTTGACTTATGATTTGTGTTTTAGGATTTCATGAAAGATATTTTTCTCAGTCATATTCTAACAACAGTCAGACGTGCCTAGGACGGTCTTTTACTTGAGAAAAGTAGCCTCTGTGGTCCCAAACGGCAGGAAGTCCACGAAGGTAGGGCCCCAAGAAATGTATTAGTGGATAAATAAAGGTAAGACCAATGGTCAGCTTGGAAAAAAAGATTTACTGGGGAGAATAAAGAGATAATTACCAGTCAGACTTGCTCCTATAGATGTCAGGATTGGGCCAGCTATCAATAGGTTAAAATTAGATCTGTGAAACAGACATTGGGGTTAGTAAGGGCAGTGGGCAGTAAGATGTAATAGCAGTTTGATATTTAGCAACTTGTGAAATGGTGCCTGATTTAATCTATATTAATTTTAAAATAAATGTGTGCTTACTTTGTGCCAAATGTATAATAATCGCCATTAGAGATAGGCGATATTTCTAATTCACAGATGAGGAAATGGGTTCCGCCAGACAGTGGCCTCCCCCAAGTACCACAGTGAGAAGGGAGTGGAGCCAGGATTGGAACTGGGTATTTGGGTTTAAAGTGTAGTTCTCTTTCTCTAAGCTGTCACTAGGAAGAATGAGGGAAGGGAGGGTGAGATTAATAAGTGTGGATTGAGATGGTAGGATGTGCTTGTTTGGACTTACTCTGGATTCTCTATTAAAGTTAAAAAAAAAGTTCCTAAGTGGCGATTGGTATTTCTTTTCCATTTTAGATGTCAGTAAGTCAAAGATGAAGAGAAAATGCCATTTGTGTGTCATAAATAGGCTCATCTTTTAGATCAGATGTCGGCAGACTAGGCTGCAGGGCAGACCTGGCCATGCCTCTTTTGTATGGGCCTTTGAGCTAATAATAGTGGTGTTTACAATTTTAAAGGATTGAAAAACAAAAAAAAAAATAAGTAACAGAGACCATGGCCCACAAATACCTTCTATGTGGCCCTTACAGAAAAAGTATGTCAACTCCTACTTCCGTAGTTTTATTTGGTGGTAGTCAGGCACTTATGAGGGTGGTAGCAGGAATTATTTATTGAACACTTACTGTCTTCCAAACTCTGTCAAGCTCTTGAGATGAATTATTCTAACAATCACCATAGGAGGAAGGCAACATTTTAATTTCCTGTTTAAATGACTGGTCACACAGCTAATTAATAGGACTGAGACTGGAATTTACTTCTGTTGTCTGCAAACGTAGTGGTGGTCAGCCTCGTACTGTACTCATCTACTCCTGTTTATCTCGGGTGGCATAGGGAGGAGAGCTGGTGGAGACGGGAGGGAGATGGTGCAGTGAAATGTACAATTTGTAAACATTTTCTTTGTTGTGCTCATGGTTTCTCATTGGCTATTCTCTAGATAGTTTTTAAAGTAGTACTTATTATTTCTTTGAGTTTTTCTGGACATCCTTTTTTTTTTTTTTTGAGACGGAGTCTCGCTCTGTCACCCAGGCTAGAGTGCAGTGGCGTGATCTTGGCTCTCTGCAAGCTCTGCCTCCTGAGTTCACACCATTCTCCTGCCTCTGCCTCCCGAGTAGCTGGGACTGTAGGCACCCACCACCACGCCCAGCTAGTTTTGTGTGTTTTTAGTAGAGACACGGTTTCAACGTGTGTTAGCCAGGATGGCCTTGATCTCCTGACCTCGTGATCACCTGCCTCAGCCTCCCAAATTGCTGGGATTATAGGTGTGAGTGACCGCACCCGGCCTTCTAGACATCTTTTTTTTTTGCTCTGTGGTATTACATGTTTTTGCCAGATGTACTGGGTAGATAGGACACTCTTGTTAACTTGCCAAAATGATGGCTAGATTCTGGGTTAGGACAAGGTCCTTGATTTCCCTGGAGAATTCAAAGTTCCTTTATGCTGTCCCCATCACTGAAGCTGTCACAATAATATAATAATAATAATAATAATAATGTAATAATAATAATAATGGAATGTTGCTTTGAGTTCCCTAGGGATTTCTGAGTTAGATAAATGGTAAAGATTCAGAAGGCACGTGAAGTTTTACCACATTGGTTTGACCTACATGTTTGTATATTCAGCTTCAAAGCTTAGCAGTCATTATTAGCATAGAGACTGAGTAAACAAAAAGAAAGCTTAACAATCATCATTATTTTATTGTTATATATTGTGAGAAAGATGGAAAATGCTGTTGAAGTTTTGTTGAGAATTATTAAACATGTTCCTGCTTTTTGTTCTCAGAATTCGCTAATCCGATAAAATGTTCTGTTTAGCTTTTTATCGTAATTGAATTTTCCATTTTTTTTCCTAATACATAGCCAGTAATTTAAAACAAATTAAGTAATTTCCCAGAGCTTAATAGAATTAGGTGTTTTTATGTTGAATCAAAGGGAACTATCACCATATTTCTTTAGTGAGTGTATTCAAGAAGCTTTGTTTGCCAAGTTTAACTGGAGTGATTAATAGTACCAGCAAAGCCCGTATTTCTGTCTTCCCAATGCGAAATTTTAGTTTACCTACATTTTCCACACGCTAGTGTCACAATAAAATACTAAATCATAATTGCCTCTTTTCCTTATAGTTAGAAGTCTGTCATTAAAAATAATCCTGGGTTATCAAAAAGCATGGCAGTTTTGTTTTGTTTTTTTTGTCTGGTTACAAACATAATGTTGATTACCTGCTTTAAAAGTGCGTACTGCAGGATAGCTTGGAGAGTTTTCCGACCAGAGTTTGTTCACTGCCCTCCTCTCTCCTACCTCCCACCTCTATGCAGGGAATCACAGACACGGCTCAGACCATTTATGAAACTGCGGCTCGAGAACACGAGAGCAGAGGGGTGACTGGTGCCGTAGGCGAGGTTCTGCGCCAGATTCCTCCGGCAGTGGTGAAACCTCTGATTGTTGCCACAGAAGCAACGTCAAACGTGCTGGGTGGCATGAGAAACCAAATTAGGCCAGATGTCCGGCAAGACGAGTCACAGAAATGGCGCCACGGGGATGACTGATGGCTCGGAACTGACAGCGTGAAGATAAGGAGAGTGGAACCAGGAGCTCAGCGTCCCAATGGCAGCTTCAGAGGAAGCTTATTTAATTTTATTATGCTCATCTCAGGAACAAAAGCATTTTTTAGTTAAATAATTTAATGTCAAAACAACATGCAACCAAAAACTTCTGACATTTAGGGCTAGTTGATACTTGCCTATAGAAATGTTTGGTGGCTGGTGTCAAAGTTCCTTAAAGCATTTGCTGCCAAATTAGTGGAAGGCTCACTTTTGTTAAATGACTGTAATTCTGCTTGTTACCAACGAGATCATTGGAAGCCGCCTTCTAAGACACTCTTTGTGTAGCTCTGTGGAGTGAGTTTTCTTAAGGTTTCAAAAGAATCACAGCTTCAAAACTTTAATTGAAAATGAGAGACAGAAGCCACAGGGGAAGCAAAGCAAATAGGATTTTTAATATAAATATCAGTGTGGAAAAATAACCTATTCTGTTGAATTTAGTGTTCATGCACTTGAGAACAACATTATTTCCATTTACTCTGAAAATCCTTCTGTGGGGGTTTGAGAAGGTGGATGTTGCAGACATGTTCTGTTGTGTTGCACTTTATCCTGTGTGTGTGTTTCGATTAATTCAAGTTGTGTGCTGTATTTCTTGTATAATTTACGAAGTTACACAAAATACAAAGAGCAGTAAACTTGTCTGAAAGTTTTTGGCAAAGGAAAGTAACTTAAATGTAATAGCTTCCTTTAAGAGTACAGGAAAATATGCATTCTATAATGAAGTGGGGCCCGTGTAATTGTTTATATTTTCAGTTTTAAGCAGCTATAGTGCAAGCTTGTTAGGAATGCGTGGAAGAGGAGATTAGAAGTGATTTTTCCTCTTTTAAAAGTAAACAAAAATTCTTCAAATATGCCCTAGTTAACTATTTCAGCGTACCATTTTTACTTGGTTAACAGTGTACATTTTGATAACCTATCAGGAGTGAATAAAGTATTTTTATTTAAAGGCAATATTGTTTTATGCTTCCATGAATATTTTGCTTTTCTTAGAGCATATTCCTAGGTGCAGTACCATGATTTACCACAAGATAATTGGGAACACTTTCTCAAAGTTGATTTTGCTTAATATCAGGTAAATCATTACCTAGGAGTAAGAGGGAAATTGTTCTCAATTCCTGACTTTAGATTGATCCAGCAGAAAGAAAAGGTGGAACTTTGTGTACATCCACTGTTTAAAGTTGCATGACGTGACTTCCTGTTTTCTAAAGTTGGGGGAATATCATTGAATTTCGATTTCAGAACTGCATGTCAATTTGGGACTTGGAAAATGAAGTTAAGTCGATTTCATTCTCTAAATTTTCTAAACAGGAAAGCAATGTAAACCAAAAATCAAAATGTTTAGAATTTGTAAAAATGGGGTTATATAGCTTTTAATTTTAGTTTCCTTTTTACTGCCAAAAAAACTTAAAAAGACAACAGCGTAATCACCTGTTTAAGCACTGTGGGACCATCTGCTATTCAGTTCTGGGTAGAGCCTGGTCCTGGAGACATACTAACAGGAAGGCGTGCTGTGTTACCGGGAAGGCACCTCTGGCTGTGGGGTGCGTTCTCACCACCCCACTCAGATGCCAGCATTCTCCATTTGCCCTTAATAAGGAAGCTTGCTATGTGTGTTAACCCAGTTATGATTAGTCAAACTGGAAAACACTTGATCAAACTTAAAATTGTAAAATCTCTCTAACTTTTAAATATACTTTCCGTATTTATACTTAAGTTCAGTTAACTACAGTATGGAGACAAATAATTATTCTCTTCTTTGCACCCTGAGTTGCAAACAAATTAAGTTTACAAATCTCATTTAAACATATATCTTTATAATGTAACCTCTATGGTTCTTTCTTTGTTCTGCCCTCCTGCGCCTGCTGTTGATATAATCATTTTGGGAACAGAAACATTGTATCTCAAAAAGATTCATTGTCAGTTCAGCCAAGATGTTCTTTACCTGAGATTCTGGAAGGATGTTTATCTATATCTGAACACTTCTACATTATTAAATGTCCTTAAGTTTTTTCTTTTTTACAAGTGTCTTTTCAAACGTTTGTGTTGTGATGACACAGCAGAAAGAGTGTGGCTGGAATACGTGGTTTGCCACATCTGCAGCTTACCAAACGATGACTTGTCCAGTACGCCTGATGCCTGTAAGCCTCAGCATCCCTCCTGGTAAACAGAGGGTTTTTTACGACAAAGCCCAAGGCGGAGTTTTGGATGATTAGTCCATGTGTGCGTGTGAGAATGATTGCATGTGGCGTCATGCTTTGTACAGAGCCTCAGACCACTGGGCCTTGTCCAGTGAGAGTCCTCTCTCTGGTGACATCACACATGGAGCAGCCAGGGGCCACCTTAGATCTCAGATCTCACAGATCTCAGAGCAATGCTTTTCTGAACTGCCACTGTGCCTGCGTGGTTGGGTTTGGTGTCATGCTTCTGATGAGAGTAGATCACGCGTGTCCACCAGTGATATGTTGAGTCCTTACAGTTGCCCCCCCCATGGAGTTCCGTAAGCAGCTCCATCGAGATCTGTCAGCAAGTTGCAGGACCCCACAATGTTCTGGCACGTTAAGACCACCTGACATCACGAGTAGAGAGGCAGCTGAGGCCACAGCCATGTCTTCCTCTTGAATGGAGCTAACTTGGAACCCCCCATTTTCCCTTCCTGTCTGCCCGCCACTGAACATTGTCCTTTAGATAACTCAATGTTTCTTCTAGATGTCATAGCAATAGACTTTCACTTTCATGAAGTTTGGGTACAATTTGGATTCTCAAGTACATATATTTATCAATATTTTTATAAGGCAAAGTTCACTTAAAAAATCTTTCCAAGTAGCAGTGTGCCTAAGATGGCAACATACTAAAAACCAGTGTCTCCTGCTCCTGTTGTATGTCACTTTTCAAGCCGATTGAAACATTTCTGGCTTGTAGGGCATTACTTTTTAACCATCTCCTTTATAAACAGTGTTCTGTAGGTTTGGTGTCTTTGTTCAGTTCCAAAAAATGTCCAGACAACTGTGTCTGCCCCTGCAGAGGCTGCTCGTCCAAAGGCAGCGTGTGCCGCTGCCACCGGAACGCAGACAGCAGGGGAGCTGAATTCTAAAGCAGCGACTTAAAATGAGGAATCCACAATGACACTAAAAGGTTTCAGGATTGACTAATCATTGTCTTAACGGTAACTCAGATTTTTGATGTGTAAACAGCTGTGTGACTTGACGTCTGAGAGATCGCTCTGCTTTGCTTTGCTTCAGAGTTCTTGCACCCGCATCCTCAGAACCGTGGGGCATGGTGGGCTCTGACCAGCGCTCCCCTTCTGTTTTCCTTCACTACTTTTGACCTACTTAAGACTTCAGAGAGAATGTCCTTCAAGTTCTTTTCTCCATCAAGTTCTTTAAGTTCTTTGAAAGGAAGGGACTGTGCAAACAAAGTGATATTCTTTTGTATCTGCAAATGCATCAGCTGGACATACCAATTGGTATCAAATAGAATAAAATCAAATATAAATTTTTGAGTCTTAGGTTAAAAAGGAAAGTTACTTGTATAGTTTATAGATAATGAAGGAAAAAGATTTCTTCTTTTTCATTGCAGGAAATCTTGTTTACTGGAAGATAGAGTCACTGTTTTCATATAAGACAAATAGTGCTTTAATGCCAACTTATTTTTATCTCAACATTTTCAGGATCATGCTAGGCACACTGCCTCCTTGAATAGACATTATATGCACAGCTGCAAGTCAGCCAATTTTTTTTTATTCAGAAGTATTTTCCCCCCCATTATAGTGCCTGCATATCTGAGGTACAAAAAGCATTCAACACACTACCATAATAGGCTTCTTTGGGGATGAGAAATTTGAGTCTCAACAACTCAGAATTTGAAATGTCAGCGTTTTTGGTAAACGTAGGTGTTAGAGGTATATTTTGCTTTCCTACAATTGTTGGGCCCTCGATTCCAAGCATGTTGCTTCATAGGAAGCACCAGAGTGCCATCTGCTGTATTTCAAGAGATTGTAAATGTCATCTCAGCTGGCTCAGTTATATCTCTAATGTCCCGGGTAGCAGCCCTTCCCTCTAAAAACATGTTTACTTTGCTGTTTCACTTGTATTTTGTGTATACGAAATGGCAGCTTCCGATTTCTAGTTGGATTTGTCTTGCATTGTTTGTATAACTTGCTGGTCACCCAGGGCTATTTGCTTTTTCACTGAGAAATTTGGTAGGGGTGTCTAGTTCAGCTTTTATGTTGATCCACCCTGACTTATTTTAGACATTGAATTTATCTCACCGCAAGTAAAAGAACATATGTGTATTGACTGTCTTTGCTAAGTTTCCTAATTTTTCCTAATTATGGCAAGTATGGATGTGAATAAGAATACTGATGCTGTACAAATATTTTTGTGGAAATGTACCATGTTAATGTGACTATTTAAATAATATGAAAATAAGAATACTCTTGAAGAAAAAATTAAAATATTTACTCTTTGGATTTTGCTTTAAACACTCTTGTCTTTCACCAAGAAGTGTTCCCAGAACTTGTGTAAAACACTTTTTGGGGTGGGGATGTACAAATGTGTCAGACCTTGTGATTGGGAAATGATGTGCCAATGCCCCGGATGTTTCTGATAGCAGATCTCGGGTCTGTCTGCTACTGATTTCTGAGCTGTATGGAGTTTTAACAGTTCTTCCCTCCTCGCTTTGGATTTTGGTCCCTCTGTTAGTTATCCTATCCCTGCAATATGGACTTGGTGGCAAACACATCTCCTAGTTTGATCTCACAAAACTGATAACTATTTGGAGGAGTATTTTTGCTTGTGAAGGAAATATTTAAAAGACGTACTTATTTTTATTTTATTTATTTTTTCAGATAGAGTTTTGCTCTTATTGCCCAGGCTGGAGTACAATGGAGCAATCTCAGCTCACTGCAGCCTCCGCCTCCTGGGTTCAAGCGATTCTCTTGCCTCAGCCTCCTGAGTAGTTGGGATTACAGGCACCTGCCACCACGCCCAGCTAATTTTTTGTATTTTTAGTAGAGACGAGGTTTCACCATGTTGGCCAGGCTGACCTCAGCCTGGTCTCGAACTCTTGACCTCAGCCTCCCAAAGTGCTGGGATTACAGGCATGAGCCACTGTGCCTGGCCAGACATACTTATTTTTAAAGGCAATTTACTTTAAAAGATTTTGTTGTGACAGATGTCATTAACATCCACTTTGAACAATTTGGGGAAAATGACAAGTCACACTTCACACATGGCTCTTGTTAAAGAGAGGGATGGGGAGAGTTGTGAGATGCTCACTGTGTGCCAAGTATCTGAGCCCCCGCTCAGAGGCAGTTTAACTAGAGTGCCTGTTTTCTAGATGAGGAGACAGGTTCAGAGAGGTCAAGAAACTTGGTCACCATCACATGGTTTGACTCCCAGACCTCATGCTCTTCCCAGGACTTCTTTTAAGAAAAGCTTGGAGCAGTTACCTAACTTAGCAAAATCTCTTCACTAATTGTGAAACCACAGAATTTTGCGAGAAGATTGAGATTAAAGGCTCTTAGAATATTTGAGCAAGAAAGTGATGTGCTTGATCTCTTCCCAGCATCTCCAGCCCTTCTCCCCTCTTCTGGCTGTGCTTAGCCACCCTAGCGGTTCCGTTCTGCATGCCCGTGAGCAGGGGTTAGCACCACCTGGGAGATTTCTTTCTGTAAATGCTGCACCGCAGGCCACAGTCAACACTGATTAAAGCAAAATCTCAGAATGGGGCTCAAGTGGGGTTTCTCCACCTCAGCACTTGACATTTGGGACCAGCCTGGGCATTGTAGGATGAAGGGGATGTTGCCACTGCTCCCACCCCCCGGTGACCTCTGGCCACTGGACACCAGTAACAAACTCCCCTCCCCCAGTTGTGACAACCAAAGATGTCTCCAGACGTGGCTAAATATGCGAAATATGACAAAAATCCCTTGTTAAAAATCACTGGGCTAAGAGCTCTCCTGGGGAAAATCATGCACAGCCTGGGGCAAGAACAAGCACTATGGCCGCCCCCACTTGGGTGCTTCTGTCTGGATCTCTGCCTGCTCCTACCGTCTCAGCCCAGAGGCTCCACTTCCAGGCAGCCTGGCCACCCTCCCTTCCTCTCTCTTTCCCACTATAGCATGCTCTCCTTTTCTTTGTTAAACTTTGCAGCACTCCTCGCATACTGTAGATCCATGTCTGTTTCTCTGTTTGACTTCCTTCAGGAGGGCAAGGGACTTAGGGACCTGGGGCCTAGCACAGTGCCTTGCCCAGAGTCAGGATCAGCGAATGGTGAATGAATGAATGAGTAGTGAACCTGAGTTGTCATCCAGTCCTGTCTGCAGGTGAGGAAACCAAAGCCTGAAGAGGGGAAATTCTTTGCCCAAGATCACATGATTACTACTTACAGATGTCCTTTATTCAGTGTAAGCTCACGTTTTCTTGGTTTTAGCAATACTTATAATAATTTTAAAACTATAAATACATATAAAATGAAAGTTCAACATTGACTGAATATTTCCTATGTGGAGACTCCTCTGCTAGGCACTCAACAACACTCTTGGCCACTGTGTCATGGTTCCCAAACTTGTCTGCACATTAGTCCCCTGGGGAACTTTAAAAATACACCCCAGGGATTGGGATTTAGCTGGTCGTTGGTGTGGGCTGCGCTCTGGCATTTTTGAGAGATCCCCTGGTTCTTCTCATGTGCAGATGAGTTCTGAGACCCGGTGCATTACACTGCCCTGCCCCATTCACCAGGGCAGGGGAACATTCACATTCAGTATCAGCCAGGGTCCCAGCAAGAGATGTGACCGCTCCCTGTGACAGGCAGATGCTAGGAAGGAAATACTCAGCACATGGTGGGCAGCACAGGGTAAGGGAAGCCCACTGGCACCTCGTGGCTGTCTCTTGAGCCAAGTGAAGACTTAGTAGCTCTTCTGTAATCCACTTTCAGCTCTAGGCCTGCCCTGGCCTCAAAGTCATGTGAGCCAGTGGCCATTCCTCACCTTTTGTGGCTCTCCTTGTGGGAATGGGATTAGGATGCCCCTCCTTCTTCATCCATCTCTCAAGAGACTGAAAACCAGGCACAGCCACAGTCCTGAAAAGACTAAGGGAGCAATTCCGAGAACTTACAGCTGAAAGAGGGCTGCCTGACTGGAGCTATGACCCTAGTTGGAGGGAAGCAGCCAGAGGGATAGACCCCCACCCCCACTCTCCTGCCCTTCCATCTCCTTCTGGAGCCTTCCATGGGTGGAACCTGACTCATGCCCAGTCCATAAGGCACAGGGTCCTGGGCAGAGGGCAAGGTGGAGAGGGGCAGAAAAGAGGAGAGCGAATCTACTTTGCCTTGTTCATATTTGTACCATTATTTGTATTTTGCAGATGACACAACTAAGGCTTAGGTTAAGTAACCTGTCCCAAGCCACACCATGTACTTGTTAAGGAATACGAGTCACTAGTAACAGCTAGATCCCCAAATCTCGGCAGCTTAACAAAAAGAGAGGTTTATTTCTCATTTCCAGAAAGTCCAGTTGGCATTCTGGAATATCTGAAAGCTCTCCTTCAAGCAGTGATGGAGGAGCCCAGGCTCCTTCCATCTTGTAGCTCTGCATCCCCTGGAACCTCAGAATCCCCAGCTGGGATCTCTGCACAGGAGAGACAGGAGGACCACTTTTATGGCCAGGACATAGCCAGGGAGACAGGAGCAAACATCACTTATGCCACCATTGGTCAGAATTCTGTCACGTGGTCACAGCCAACAGGAAACACAGGTAATGGAGTCTACCTGTGTACCCAGGAAGGAATGAAAGTGAGGTTGGTGAGCACCTGGCCTGACTGCTACCTGCAGATCATAACCAGCCCATTTAGACTCTGAATGCAGGAAATCTGACTGCAGATCCATGTGCTTACATGCTCTATTGGAATAACATTCCGCTGCACTCAAAGATAATTTGCTGTTGCCAGAGTTAGGATTTTTTTCCCCGGACTTGTTTATATCCCTGAAAGCAGTTCCACACAGAGCAAATCCCATTCAGCAAACATCTGCTGGTGAATGGGGCAGGGCAGCGTAATGCACCGGGTCTCAGAACTTGTCTGCACCTGAGAACCAGGGGATCTCTCAAAAATGCCAAAGCGCAGGCCACACCCAAGTCCAGCTAAATCCCAATCCCTAGGGTGTATTTTTAAAGCTCCCCAGGGGACTAACGTGTAGACAAGTTTGGGAACCATGACACAGTGGCTAAGAGTGTAGACGTTAGAGTTAGGCTACTTGGGGCCGAACTCAGGCTCCATTACTTCTGATCTGTGTGGCCTTGGGGAAATTACTTAACCTCTCTGTGCTTTAGTTTCCTTCTGTATAAAATAATAATACAGTTGATAGGAGGATTCAAGTGCTTTGAACAGTTTCTCTCTGGCACACGGTAAGTATGACGTAAGACTTAGACACTGTTACTGTTTCTTGAATGCCTACTGTGTGCAAATGCCTGTGCTAGAGAGGAAAGAGATGGTCCTTGCTCCCCGGGAGCTCAGAATCCAGTAAGAAGACATCAAACTCTCCACACCATGGAAAAGGCAAAAGAAAAGAAAAAAAAGAAAGATGTCAAACTCTACTACGCAAGAGACGAAACACAGTTAATCATCCCAGCCATTTGTCCCTTACAAGTGTAAATCAATTTGCTTTGCTCCCCAAGAGATTTGAGTGGCAGTTCACAATGCTGAGGAAAGGAACATACACCACTGAGAGCAGTGTTAGAGTTGGAATTCCTGGTTTTGAAGACACCACCTGGTCTCCTCCTGTTTCTGGGCGTCTGGACTTGTGCTTCCCCGGCATTTAACACAGAGCTGGGGTGGCATCGGGGTAGGCGGGGGAGCCAGCTCCTTTTTAGCCTGATATTTAGGATTGCCTACTTACAAGGAAATTTGCTCTTAGAGATACAAAAATAAATAAATAAAAATAAATTTCAAAAAGGGTGTTGGAGGCCAAGTTTTTTGGGGATTTGGAATAACTGAGAAAAATGAACACTACTGCATCCTTACAGTAAGAATTTCTAAGCCTACCAGAAGAGGACGAACCATTCTTTCAAATTTGGATTCCACTGAGGTATAGAGGAAAACGCAACTGCTCAGTGCAAAGTACTCACTTGACTTCCAGAACTCTAAAGTGAACATTGTGTCAGCCCAGATGTGGCCCAGTTATTTTCAGTGATGGAGACTTCAAGGCAATCCCTCTATAAACTGTTTAACATTTAGTAAAAGATGAGTGAAAAAATGCCAACATCTATGCTATTTTCAATACAGTATCAACGTTCTAATGCTGTAGACAGAAATCCTCCTTCCATTAATAACGAACACTTCAAAGGCCAAATACAGTTTCCCTCATGCCTCCATTTCAGTTTAAAGTACACTAAAGTGAAACTTTAGTTGTATCTGGCCCCTTCAACTCCCACTCTTTCGGGACGTAACTATTTCTTCACACCAGATTCTGTTT